TATATCTGTATCTCTATGTCTATGTCAATATTGATTTCTATATCTCGATTGTATATCCCTATATCCATATATCGATATCTCTATGCCTATAGGTCTACATCTATAGGTCTATCTCTAAATCTCTATATCTAAATCTAAATCCCTTTATCTATGCCCATATCTCTATCTATATCAATATATGCTTATGAATATCTACTATGGCTGACATATTATATATTTTATCTACCCCTTGGTAATGTCACCTAGCTGACCTAGCTATACAAAATGACCCATTTATAGTGAATTTACTGCGTGAAGATGATGACTTTCCATGACTATATTTGTTCACTAGAGGGTAATGGGATACAAGTGGATACTGTAGCATAATATAAATCTAGGGTGTGCTAAATTGACTCACATACTCCGCAAAGAGATAGAAAAGTAGATATCATCAAATTAGTAAAGAGTTCACTCTTCTATCGTTTTCGCGGATGTCAATGATATGGGGATGCACTTGAGAAATGATTGTTGGCATGGCGGTTCCTAGCCAATCCTTTGAACATTGTTCGGGTCGACGGATCTATCATATACCGTATATTATTGATTCTCCTTATATATAAATATAGATAAATAGAAACCATCTCCCGTATATACCATATTTGAATAGATATATATATATATATGTATATTTACACACCATATATGATTATATACATTATATAAATACATGCTTTGTGTTTACAGATCTGCATTGTATTTGGATATACATTACATATACATATACATGAAGTAGGTGTAAATATATTTATGTGTGTATAAATATGTAAATACATATACATAAATAATATATATATATACTATTCACATGTATATATATATACTATATGATATATATATACTATATGATATATATATATATATTCATATTGTATCATGATCTGGTTACAGCTCACAATGCAGATTTATCAGCTCCGCGTAGGAGATGGAAAGAGTTGAGGTTATCTCGTGCAAGTATGCTCCGGATGACAGAGTCGGCAGAGTTGTACTTTCTCGGAACTGCCCCTACACAATGGGTATGAGTTGTAGCTGGCCACAAAAAAACAACCGAGGCAGCTGCTAGCAAGACATTTCTGATGTTTATTCTTTGACGTTTTCAATGTTGCCATCTTGAGGGAAGGGACCAGTTGAAATGCAATGCCAGTTGACACTGCGTCAACCAAAGCAAAAGCTGCGATGCTGGGCGCGCCCATCAAATTAATACCCTGCTGAAAGATACGACTGGCCACGCATCCGCCCTGCGGTCAACAGTTGCATGAATTTTGCTGGATTCTAAACAAAGAAGGTGATGTATACGATTGTGAAATTTTAGATATACAATGTTTGGCTCTAAACTACCATGAACTGGCTATGCTCTCTAATCATTAGGACATGTGATGATTGTTTTTGAACGGTATTTCATTAGCAACATTACCTTCCGGTAAGCTGACATACCATGATAATTCACCATTTTTAATTGGTACATCAACTATAATTCACCCATTGTCACTAGATATGTTAGTTTACAAGAGAGTATTGAAATTCAACGGTACCAACTTGATCAAAAAGTTTGGTGATTTGTTTAATGCTCACATGTGGTCATAGTTTGTTTGCCCGCGGGTTCTGTTTCTACAAGTTTCACTTTGTGTTTCAAGCGAGGCGTGGACAGCTGCGACACGGTTTGGAAAACGAATTTCGCTTTGAGCTGCTTTAGACATGTTTGGTGACCATCTAGATTTGTCCAAAAATGTGCAAACCCTTCAATTTGTCACTATTTGAAGCGAACCATCATGATACTCCGGTCGAATTCGGAGAAGGCACGCCATTTTTCGACAAAACCATTTGCTGTCTCAACTTGCTATCCATGAAGAACTTTTCAGCATGCGAAGAGTTGCAAGAGGATGCCATTTACAACCCCAAATTTTGATCTCTCCCATATTTGAGCCATAGCCAGAGAAATCCCCTCCAAAATCGGCCCCCAGCTTTCCAAGCACCTTTCCTCTTAAATATTAGATAAAATATATGAATATATATATATAATTGATAAAATATGATACATAAAATATATTATATATGTAATATATATCTTATGTATACACAGTATAATAGATATATATATATATATGTATTAAGATATACTGTATCTCAGATATATTCCCATCCAAACTTTTTTCATGTGGCTGACCTACCGATCCTGCTAACTTGAAAAAAACACTTTTCCAACGAAACTATTTTTTTTTCAAGATGCTACCTTGTCGTTCTAGCGGCCACCCGAGTGGCTGCGAGTGGCTGCGAGTGTCTGCGAATTGCCGCAGAGGTAGGCCGCAATTAGCTGCAAGAGGCCGTAACTTGAAAAAAAACACTTTTCCAACGAAACCGCTTTTTTTCAAGATGCTACCTTGTCATTCTAGCGGCCACTCGAGTGGCTGCTTCACCCGAAACGGCCACCTGCGGCCACTGGCCGCTCATACCCCTGTGGCCATTCGCAGCCACTCGCAGCCACTTGCAGCCACTCGAGTGGCCGCAAGTGGCCGCTTCACCGACAACGGCCTCTTGCAGCCAAGTGCAGCCAACCCCTGCGGCCATTCGCAGCCACTCGCAGCCACTCGCAGCCACTCGAGTGGCCGCAAGTGGCCGCTTCACCGACAACGGCCTCTTGCAGCCAATTGCGGTCAACCCCTGCGGCCATTCGCAGCCACTCGCAGCCACTCGCAGCCACTCGAGTGGCCGCAAGTGGCCGTGAGTGGCCGCTCCTCCCAAGTGGCCGCAAGTGGCCGCAAGTGGCCGCTCCTCCCAAGTGGCCGCAAGTGGCCGCAAGTGGCCGCAAGTGGCCGCTCCAGACAAATCCGAGCGAGTGGCCGCAAGTGGCCGCGAGTGGCCGCTTTCGGCCAAATCAATTTCCACCCTCAAAGCAACCCCCCTGCGATTTCTTTCAAAAAGTATCCTGTTTTGGAGGTCCCCAATTCGGATCGGGGACCTTCCCTTTCGGCTGGCCAGCTGTCCACTTGGCAGGCGTGCCTCAACATTGCGCGTTCTTCGGCTTCACGGGTTCACCTCGGACCTCTCTTTTCAAGTTTAATGTTTCCTTTGTCTTCTGCGCAGGTTTTGCTACCTTGTCCAGGTTAATTTGTTGTTTCCATGTGTGCTGCATTTGGCATTTTCCCTTTTCCCTGGTTGCATTTCATCTGTCTATATTCTCCACATATCATGTCGCCTCCTTCCAACTTGCATTGGTTACTTCCATGTGTTCTTCATTTGTCAAATGTGCCCCTTTCCAAGTTGCATTTGCTCTTTCTATTTTTCCTCCATTTGCAATTTTTGCCTCTTTCCAACTTGCATGTTGCTTTCCCATTTTTTTCTGCAATTGTCATGTGAGCCTCTTTCAGATTTGCATTTTCCAATTCCATTTTTTTTGCATCGTTTCTCCATTTTTTCAAGATGTAAACATCCTAGAACAAGCGCAAGTCGACAGCACAAGGCTAACCAAAAAGCTGTTTCTAGGGTTTCTGCCAAATTAATAAGTGTTTCTGGCAGATTTTCGCCACAACATGTTTGGCCATGTTTGGGAGCCTGAAGTGTAAAGTCCAGTCAGGACAAGTCATAGGTCCATTGACATATGGTATGTCATGCATCAAACATGCTGAGAACCGTAGTACTATGCTACGGAAGTCGTTTTTTTAGAGCAGGATTGTACAGAATTTCATCCAGAAAAAAGGCTAACGAGCACAAACACACACACACATGTTCTGGCAAGACTTACCAGGATCCATCATCCACCAGTCGACTTGGAACACCCATTGTTTGATATACCGATATATACCCTTCCCGTTGGGCCGAGATTCTAAAAACCACTTGAAAACGCAGGGAATCGTAGAGTTCAACGGATTTCGCGAAGCCCACGGCGAAGAACTTCCTCGAGGCCTGCGCGTTGAACGTCCCAGAGTCGTACAAGGTGGTGACACCAACTTCGCCAAGTGCGTTGGTTTGAGAAGTACAACTGTAGCCCTTGTGGCAAATCTCTCCAACCAACTATAGTCAATGGGATGAATTAATAAATCTATATATATATATATATAGTCATATATATATATATATGTAGTATATATATATATTATATAAGCAAAACTGGGGGGCACCACATTGACCCACATTCTATCAGTACCGTCGCGGGCATGGAGTGCTTGGTGATCATCCCTTTGGACTCACGAAATCAGCTTCGAAATGGATGGGGGGACGGCAAAACACAAGATCCATGAGACATAGTGAGAGAAATAGATATAATGATATTGTATGATATTATAATATTCCATGGTATACCCATTTTATAACCAATTATAAACATATCTCAATCATTTCTATTGCAAGATTGGTTCGTGATGTCAACATTTTACAGGTGTTAGCTGAAGATTGAACATTCTATCTGCCCACCAAAAGTTCAAAATCGTCTCACTATGTGCAATGTCAACCCCAGATCTAAAAAAAACAGTTGGTTTTCCAAGAAATCTGCTCCCCCCCAAAAAAAAAGTGATGATGTGCCACTGTGCCACCATTCAGGCGGAATTTCAATGGTATCGGTGATCTACAGCACCCCGCCTGCAAGCTCTTGGCTGGCTCGGTGAGACGGAGGAGATGCACATCATCATGTGACTTCCTCGACGGGATGCGTGGGGTCATGGTCCACATGACAAGCCGATAGGGGAGAAATTCAAATCCGCTCCAAGTCATGGATCAACAAGGTCCCTCAAAAGGAACAATCGAGGGCTTAAGATGGTTTAAGTATATAGAATTCTTTCTCATTTCCCGACTGCTTGCTGTGTTTTTTTTGGGATGACCCAGGGACCCCTTTTGTTTAGCAACCAACGAGAAAAGGGACATCTATAAGCCTATAAGTTCTTAAAGATATGAAGTGTTTTTAAAGATTGTGAAAGAACATGGGCCGTCTCAGGATGATTCCCTTTGAATCTGGCCACCATCCAGCCACCTATTTAAGGGCCATCAAGGTGCAGGGAAAACAAGCGAACCAAGGCTGGAGCTGACTTGTGCAGATAGGCCATCACAGGTGCACAGGCCACCCCCATCACATCCTGAGGTTGAGATCCAGGCCGGCCTGGTTACCATTTGATTTGGGTCTGAAAATGTCCGGAAGACCACAACAGATCATGCATTTGAACGGTGTTTTCATCACATGATAGGCCATTTCCTACAAGATCAAATGTTAATGACCACTGATTCATCATTGCTTTTCCCGGGTTTTTCCAGGTTGAAATGGCAATTTGGAGGCGCAGGATGCAGCTGACATGACTGATGACCTAACTTGCCATAACCTCTGGTAATTTAACAGTTTGCTTCGGAAAATCTCCATTGTCAACAACGGTAAATCAAACCAAATGGAACCTTAAATGGATCAATATAAATAGGCCATAGCTTCCAGTTCGCAAACTGCACACATTTTCCAATTTGAGTAACTTTTCCCCACATGTTTCATTCATCACTTCACAGTTGGAGCATGTTGGACCAAAAAAAGTGTCTGCCGCGACGTCTACAGGCAGCAAAGGGCATGGAAGCATTCGCGCCTGGCATGGAAGGATGGAGCCCTGGGAAGTCACAGATTTCCTACTGGAATTGCTGGGATTCTCTGGTAATTCATAGGGATTTAATATGTTTTAATCAACAAAATAAATGGGACATGCTAATGGGAAATGACCATTTGCAAAGTTTTTACATAGCTATGGAAATGGCCCATTGAGTTCGATGATTTACATATGAACAATGATCTGGGTAAATTAGAATAATTCACTCACCTGAATTGTTGGGCCATTTGGGGATGATTCCCCCTATAAAAACCATGATTCCAGGGCTCGGTCGCGACGTGAGGTCGTTATAATTTACCCAGGATGATGACTTTCTACGGCTATCTTTACCGGAGGCTTTCGGTGACATGTCATGGCCTGGACATGGAACTAGGCCAACCAACTTTTGGGAACTTTCCATGGCCTGACGCCATGAAAGGCCAGTCACAAACATGCAGTGGTGGATACACATATACATATATATATATTATAATGTAATATAATATCGAAATATAAATAAATATAAATATATATACATATATTATTATGGGGGTTTCCTAAAATGGTGGTACCCCAAAATGGATGGTTTATAAGGGAAAATCCTATTGAAATGGATGATGGGGGTACCCCCATTTCAGGAAACCTCCATATATACAGTTAGAACCTCACATATATACCCAACATGTTTACAGTGAGTTTAAGTGTTTAACTATATATTATATATACCATATTATACCATTGTGCGTACACATAAATTCGCACATATCAAAATGATGCATATACAATTCCAGTTCATTGTATACACTGTACGGTACAAACAAAACACCCCAAAAATAGAAACAAAACACATAAATGATCATCATCCAATCATGTTCATATGTGAAAAACTGTATATTATTCTTTCAACTATTATCATCTACCCTCTGGTTATTTAACATAGCTATGGAATAGTGCCCATTAAAAAAATGATTTAGAATGATTCACATTGATTCACCTATAAAGAATCGTGAGGTTTCAGTTTGCTATGTTAAATCACCAAAGGGTACCTATATTTTTTCAAAAAAGATTATCCCAACAATTTGCTTGTAGCATCTATTCTACAACAATATTCTCGGTTCTGTCCTTTTTTCGGAGGGAAATAAGCCTCTTCATTATATACATCATTTATAATATCATTCCCATACAGTAATTCTAACAATATTAATATCACCCCAGCACGCCTGGAGGACAGCTTTGTCTTGCTTGGAGATCAACTCTTTGGAAGCGGCCGGATCGCTGAAATCCCAGACTTGGAAACCATCGGTGTAACCTCGGCTGGGAACTGATGGACATCTCACATCCCGGACATCACAGGTTGGTGGTTGAGCCCACCTATTAGTAAATGGCCATAGAAATAGTGGATTTTACCCAGCTATAAAATGGTGATTTTCCATAGTAAATGATAGTTAAGCTGGTTGGTGGTTTTTCGCCACCCCTCTGAAAAATGATGGAGTGAACGTCAGTTGGGATGATGACATTCCCAACCGAATGGGACAAAAAAAATGTTCCAAACCACCAACCAGATCATCTATAAATCTTGGGATTTTCCATTGGCATGGTTGATTGCCAGAAAGTAAACCTCTTTCCCAATCTCCCCGGATCTACAGAACATGGAGTACCGTCTGGTTCCGGGTTGCCCAAACACCCACTATTACACTATATTGAGAATCTAAAAATGTGACGGAAAGCACTTCGACGAAAGCAACCACAAAACTATAGTACTGTGCCGTTTTCTTGACCATAATGCAATCACCACCTGTCTCGATGACATCCCATGTTGCAACCAAGCATCCAATCACTACCAGCTGCCGAGGAAGGGTTTCCTGTGGAACTGCATTGTTCATCAGATCATGCAACTCGGATGCATGAGTTGCCATGCTTTTGTCTTTTAAACCACTTATCAATATCAAGCGTTTAGTACTACGATTATAGATGATTATAGTATAATCCTAGTACTAGATTATACTATATTATACTGAGTTTTTATTGCTTCCCAATGTTTCCAGTATGTTGTACTGCACATTCTCCCATTGAATCCCCAGGACACGGATGGACACTTCCCAGGGCTCCTCGGGCCAAAAGATGCGCTCGATGGAGAGCCAAGTAATGTGACCTCAACATCTTCGCGCTTGGAAACGTTGGTTTTTTGTGGCTTTGACCATGTTTTTCACCCCCACATACAAAAAAAATGATAGAGGTATGATTTCCTAGGAGGTTTCCTGTGAAGCCATCATCCAATTCTGGCAATATATTATATATTTAATATTGTTTGTGAAGGGTTGCATCTGCCGGTAAGTTTGAATCGTGCCCATTCTTCAGACCAGCGCATGGACATGAGAGCGCATTGACATTCTTTGACTATCTATATCATTCTATACCTGTCCAATCTATCCACAACCTATATAAGCATATGGGGCCCACATGAAGTGATGATTCGGTTTGAATTGAATAATGTCTTGCATCATTTCCATTGCAGCCCAAGTGGCGCACAGCCTCGGAGATTTGGGGGCTCAATCCTGCAGCCTCCTTGACGGCGGTGGGGATATATCCGGAGATGGATGAGAACAAGGAGCTCGCCACACTCATCGTGCCTGGACTTGGAGAGCTATATGTCTGATGGCAAATGAGTGTGACACCAAGCATCTGGAACAAAATGGAATATGAATGGGGTATGATACCCAAAAGACATGTACTTTGTCATACTCTATTCTTGTTTGATACCCCCAATAATGTGTGTCATATTATGTATTGTGTCATCATGGTTTTCACTAGGATTCTGGGACTTCTCCAGTCCTTATGGATCCGACTCTTTCAAACCACTCGCAATGAGAACTTGAACAGAGACATGTGCATAACCAACCTCCACAAGGATAGAACAGGTTCAACTTGTCACTACTTTCTATGTAGTAGGATGTTACTTTCCTATCTGTTTATTCTTTTCTGGGGTTACTGTATGTATAAAAGGGGAAGCCTTTGAAGATCCTCATTTTGGCATTGAAACATCTCGGAGCAAAAAAAAAGCACCCAATCCGTTGCCTCAGGCAGTTAAAAATGCCAGGAAACGCGGCAACAAACAACAGATCTGTTCCACTGGCAATGGCCAGCAGACATCCCAATCAGCGGCTCAGCCCTTCCATGGCTGCACAGCTGTGGTAAATTCTGGTCATTTGTCTCATGTAGATGGGAATAGATTGGCCTAATAATTTGGCAGAATGATGTCTTCACATCCCGAACCATTCACTTGCTTCTGTGCTGCCGTTTCTTTGGTGCAGTGAAGTAGCGAAGAATATGTTTGTCCACCTGAAGCTTGACCAAAGACCTGCTTGGTTGTTGGCTGAAATTGTTCTGGTATACGGAACCTCTCCAGCAAAAGCGTCCCCAAACATCCCCACACCACGTTCACAGCTGTTCAGGTCGGCAGTTGCGGTCTTGGCAGATTAAGTCTTAGATTTAGCCTTATCCCAACCGCTAGGACCAACGTCAAACCGTGTCACAGCAGAAGATCTCAAGTTGGAAGCCTTTCTTTCTGCTCGGGCTAGTCATTCGGCTCCCAGATCCACAACTTGAACCAGTACTGGCTGGAAGCAACGCACATGTGCGACATGCGACCAACAAAGCCATGTTTTTTGAAAATTGTCATGTCACATCATGAAAGCCACCATGCAAAAGCATGTCCAGAACATGTTCCAGCAAAATCATTCAAGAACCACCATCGCATGATCTACCTTAGTTGTTGGCATCAACTCATTGAAGCCAACAACAATCATGCAAAATCCTCATGAAACCATATGAAACCATTCTGCTTGGAGCGGCATGACACGTTTTTTTTTGCGTCTCACCAGCTTGGGGTGATCCAATCTTCAGCTCCTGCGGCGATGAGGTCTTCGGCTGAGCCCAATATATTAAGATAGCCTTGGTGGTTGAATTCAATCGGAAACGATATGAGAAAACAAATCGTGAAAGGAAAACACAAAGGGTATCAAAAGGTCAAATACATCTTGTATCATCTTGTCTCTTGGAGTTTGAAAAAACGTGTCAACACATGGCACCTGATCCCATTCGATTGAAGCCGCGCATCTTCAGCCAGGCTCGAGGCCTAGATTTCAGGTCGCTGGGCACCGCTCCTGAGTTCATCAGGAGCGTTAGGTCAGCAACATTCAGCTGCTTACAAATGCCAATCTTATATCTTATCATTTTGTCACTATTTGTCACTATTTGTCACTATTTGTCACTATTTGCCACTATTTGCCACTATCTGTCACTATTTGTCACTATTTGTCACTATTTGTCACTATTTGCCACTATTTGCCACTATTTGTCACTATTTGTCACTATTTGTCACTATTTGTCACTATTTGCCACTATTTGCCACTATTTGTCACTATTTGTCACTATTTGCCACTATTTGCCACTATTTGTCACTATTTGTCACTATTTGGCACTATTTGCCACCAACTATTTGTCACTATTTGTCACTATTTGCCACTATTTGTCACTATTTGTCACTATTTGCCACTATTTGCCACTATTTGTCACTATTTGTCACTATTTGCCACTATTTGTCACTATTTGTCACTATTTGCCACTATTTGCCACTATTTGTCACTATTTGTCACTATTTGCCACTATTTGTCACTATTTGTCACTGTTTGCCACTATTTGCCACTATTTGTCACTATTTGGCACTATTTGCCACTATTTGGCACTATTTGTCACTATTTGTCACTGTTTGCCACTATTTGTCACTATTTGTCACTATTTGCCACTATTTGCCACTATTTGTCACTATTTGTCACTCTTTGTCACTATTTGCCACTATTTGTCACTATTTGTCACTATTTGCCACTATTTGTCACTATTTGTCACTATTTGCCCCTATTTGCCACTATTTGTCACTATTTGTCACTATTTGTCACTATTTGCCACTATTTGTCACTATTTGCCACTATTTGCCACTATTTGCACTATTTGTCACTATTTGTCACTATTTGCCACTATTTGTCACTATTTGTCACTATTTGACACTATTTGCCACTATTTGTCACTATTTGCTATTTGTCACTATTTGTCACTATTTGTCACTATTTGTCACTATTTGCTACTATTTGTCACTATTTGCCACTACTATTTGCCACTATTTGTCACTATTTGCCACTATTTGCCACTATTTGGCACTATTTGTCACTATTTGTCACTATTTGTCACTATTTGTCACTATTTGCCACTATTTGTCACTATTTGTCACTCGTTGTCACTATTTGTCACTATTTGCCACTATTTGCCACTATTTGTCACTATTTGTCACTATTTGCCACTATTTGCCACTATTTGCCACTAGTTGTCACTATTTGTCACTATTTGGCACTATTTGCCACCAACTATTTGTCACTATTTGTCACTATTTGTCACTATTTGTCACTATTTGTCACTATTTGTCACTATTTGCTACTATTTGTCACTATTTGTCACTATTTGCCACTATTTGTCACTATTTGCCACTATTTGCCACTATTTGGCACTATTTGTCACTATTTGTCACTATTTGTCACTATTTGTCACTATTTGTCACTATTTGCCACTATTTGTCACTATTTGTCACTCTTTGTCACTCTTTGTCACTATTTGCCACTATTTGTCACTATTTGTCACTATTTGTCACTATTTGCCACTATTTGCCACTAGTTGGCACTATTTGTCACTATTTGCCACTATTTGGCACTATTTGTCACTATTTGTCACTATTTGTCACTGTTTGCCACTATTTGTCACTCTTTGTCACTATTTGTCACTATTTGTCACTATTTGTCACTATTTGTCACTATTTGTTACTATTGTCATACAGTTGCATGCAGCTAAAATAGATACCATCTGATGAGAAATGGAAGTCCGCTGAGGCAACTCTGCTCTAGAACGTGGATTGAACCCATCATACTTTCATTCATAGAGAGTCATACGTCGCCAGATGTCGCTTTGGCATCTGGGTTGTGGGCACCCCTTGGGGTGCTGTCTCTTGCGTTCCGACTTGTGCCAATTGGAGTAACTGGAAACTGCCAACTCCAACTTCTAATGGAATCTTCGGATCTGCTTGGGTCTGCCTCAAATAACTTCAAAGCATGTTCTCTGTAGATTCCTCACGTGGAAATGGTGAATTTCCCAGAGGGAACTCCTCCTGCAAGCCGAGACTTCATCGAGGCGACCGCATTTCCGCCATTCCCGCTGTCTGATGTCGCTAGCACGTCAGGCCAGACCCAGACCACTGAAAACTCCTTGTTGGGTCAGAAAATGTCAGTGGGATGAATCAGATGTCAATTGGTTGAGATTTTTCTCCCTTAAGAAATGCCCATAGATCATTAGTACACCGAAAAACAAACGGAAATATTCCCTGTGATAGTGAAGAACAGAAAATGCATAGAAAATCATACAAATCTACATTGGTCCTTCCACATCATTGGTCTCCGACATGGGAAAGGGGGATCGGGCGTTGAGCTCCTGATCCCATGGCGAGCAGCGTTTCAACCGCTGGGTCTAACACCGTGGGATTGAAAGATCTTCTTCGCAAGATCCTTGCAACCGGGAATGGGGGGTCAAATCCAAAACCTAAGATTCACATAGATTAACGACAATCCTTGGGAGTTCACACTCACCTCGCTGGCCGTTGATATCGGTTCATCAATTCAGAAATCAAACACCTGGAGCCTGCTGTACCATGGCAGGATTTCGGAATCCTTTCTGCATACCTTTGGCAACAATAGAATATATGAACATGCAAAGTCATGCAAAGTCATAGCAACTCCTCCAAAGAAAGGGCGATGAAATCACAAATAAATCTGGCTGGATTATAATAATTCACTGACCTAAACAAAACAATTTGCGACAGTTACCTCTACTAACCATCATTCCAGTGACGTCACAGCGAGGTCGTTGATATTCGTTGATGGTCGGTCCCGATTGAACCCGATTAAATTCAAAGAACGGATGTCATAATCCCTTTAATATTCCAGTATCATCTTAACCCATTCATCATCCACAAATTATCCCGGTTTTTACATACGTATATTTATTGATGTTCCCGGCTATAAACCTCCATTGATAGTGGATTTTCCGATATATTTTCCCTAGCTTTTCCTACGGTCATGGTTTTCCCAGGAAATAGTGCCATTTTCCCATTGATATCCCATGAATCTCGGTTTAAACTGACAGCCACGCTCCTTGACTTCCTGAATTTCGGATCTTGGAACCCGATATGCACTGCTGGTAGTCCTCAAAAATGGCTCGTAGGGAGGCTCGTTTAACACATTTTTCTGCTTCCCAAAAATGGTCCCGTTTTGCCTCAAGTCAATTTGACTTACTGAACCAATAACATCAAACAACTTAAGTCAGCTGACGGATTAGAAATATTGTGCAAAGGCATTTGACAAAGTTTTGCTACAAACCCACTGGCAGCCGGCTCCATCTGATCATGGCCTGCTCCAGAAAATGCGTCTAGATGACTTGGCCAAAGAAGACTCAATGGATTGACATCCCACTAAGTAACATTTATTGCATGATTGTTCTAAGTTCCACTCAAAACTGTCAAACAAAATCAAAACTCGTCAACCTTGCAAAAACACGTGCCATCATGTAGGAATCTAGCATTTCACACAGGGTTCACTATGGAATTACATATGTCTGGCTGAATTGTGTGCAATAATTCACAAACCTGAAAATAACTAAATTTTGCGGCCAGCTATTAGGATGATTCCTCTTGGTAATCATCACTCCAGTGATGTCATGTCAGGACGTGAGGCAATAATTAATCAAATTCATCCAGATTAATATCCCATTAAATCTAATGATGTTAACGATTCACATTCTAATCATATGCCATTGATATTATTTCATTCGTCCTCATTTTTGGCTGTCTATCCTATATAAAATCCCAGTACTATCTAAATGATTCTCTCCATTTATGCTTGGTTATGTATTAAATGATCCATTTCTATCTGATATTCCACAAATATCCCATTCATATCCCATGGATTTTCCATAGATTTCCATCCCTCGCGGATTCGAAGCCACGCGTCCTGACCCTCATCAGCTCGGATCGCTTCTGCAGCTCCCGCCACGGCGGCGGCGACGGAAGGAGCCGCGGAGCGTCACCGCGGAAGATGCTGATGGACATCCAATCCTGGATGCGGATTGAAGGCATGGGATGGCATCAAAACACACACACACATATATATATATATTATATATATATTATATATATATATGTATTAATAAGTGTGTATATATTTATGTATATATATATATATATATGTATAACATAACATAATATGAATGGATCATACATGACCAAAGTGTGCATGGGCGATGCCAGGCGTCTTCATCCGACTCCATGGCCACTTCGTTCACCTGGCATCCCAGCAGGGATCATGGCCATGTTCCCACCCAAAAAGAAAGTCGCTGATGAGTATGGAACTATATGATCTTTAAATATCATTAACATAAACATATAAATATGATTCAATTAATATATATATATATATATATATAATTATGTAATTATATAATAATGTATATTTCATGATATATCATTGACATGAATGATCTAATATTATTGCCCGGCATTGAAACATCATTGTGATAATGTAATGCCAGAACAAGAGGCTAACATATCGTAAGCTACTCAACCCAGGTTTACCAATGATGGGGATTTCAGGCCAACATTCATTATCTTTGGAAAAGGGTAATCTTGGGATATGAAATTGAAGGCCTTTCATCAAATGGAGACTATGACTGAAGTTCTCATTGCTGTGGTTAAAACAATAATAAGCCATCCACAATTTCACCATAGATGGTATGTTTACCATTCCCATTCGTGGGTGGTTTATCATTGTTTCACCCACAATAATCATTATTCGCATCAGATCCATTAATATGGTTGGTAATCCCATAAATAACCCCTTTATTTTTCCACTACATTCCCATGACAATCATGATAATCCCATATTACATTATCCATGGTATGTTTACCATTCCCAGTCATGGCTGGTTTATGACATGATTGACATGGTTTTACCGGTTGTACCCACATTATTTCTTAACCCATAGACAGCACTTCTCCAAAGATACTCCATGATACCCTCAGGATGAACATCCTTGGGCCAAGCCAAGAGCAGCCTTGGGCAGTCTGTCTTCGTAACTGTTGCAAGGTTTTTGCACCTCGACTTTGATATATAACATTATATAACAATACCATAATGTGTTATTTTAATCTATTATAATATGGCAGTGTGTCAAAACCTTGTACCCCTGGTGAACATCAAAATAGCTGGTAAATGGATGTTCATCCCCCTAAAAATGGTATTAATAGGTATTGATCCATAGCCATATGTATAAAATTGTATAAGATTGTATGAGGGTTTTGACTGTCCATGGACAAATTGACCATTTTTATTCACCCTCTCAGAGATCCCAAGGATGATCCGAGGGGCACCTCCACGAGCGCGGTGATGTACCTTCCATTTGCCTCAGCAGTTTTCAACGACAAGGGCCACATCATGCCACATCAAAATGTTGTAATAGGTGGCTTCCAACGCTTTGCCCAAAGAAAATTAAAACATGCAGAAGTTGAGCAAAACTGACAGATTCTATGAATGGCATATATGATAAAACACCAGCCCAACAGGGTTGGCATGACACATACAGGCTGGTAACCCCCAGTTGTAAGTTGGTTTATAGTTTTATAATGTTTTATAACCCATTAACTATAGATCTAACCTCCATAAACCCAAGGTTTTTCAGGCGTCTCCAAGGTTTTCCCCGGTTTTTCCAGGGTTTTCCTAGCCCCAAACAGGGCCCCTGGCAGAGATTCGCCATAGAAACTCCGCTGCCACCGTCCGGAGCACGTTATCGGCCACCAGTACCCCGTGAGGTTTCCTCAGGTGGCAATGGGAAATCCCGATTGAAATGGATGATTGAGGGCTACCTCCATTTTAGGAGACCACTATATATAGTATATATAAATATATGTATATATATATAGTATATATATAAGAGTATATATATATATATGAGCGATTGTGAAAACCCTAGGTTCACGGAAAGGACATCCACAAATTTGGGAAGGTCCCATCGCTTACCACACGTTTGTACAACAATGATATATATGGTAAACTTGGGGGGTATCGCCTGCAGGAAACTGCTGCATTTATATATATATATATATGTGATGAACTATGAATAATATTTGATATTGGGGTATCGCTAATGTGGATATTAGAGAAATATGATGACATAACCTTGAAAAGGGGTATCGCTAATTTGGGAAGGTCCCATCGCTTACCTCGTGTTTTTAACAATTTCCATCAATTTCCATAAACCAATGTCCGTCGAATACATATTTAGTATTGCCGGGGTTTTTACGGTTGCTCATATATAGTAGTGTATATATATATATCACTCTCTCTCAATGGGCATTTGAAAGGGAAAATCATGAAACAAATTGGTGGATTTTCCACTGCCATGTTGGATTACCTGGGGGTGGCTTCTTTTCTCACAGGGTGACCTCCCAAGATCGAGCGACAGCAGCGCCAGGGATTCGATGAGATCCAAATCTTCGGGGTATTGTGCGCCCCATCGATCCATGAAAATCAGATCCTGAGATCGGCGAGAGGATCTGAAAATCCACGGGATGAGATGGGATGAGATGGGGTCCATATAGGGTGGAAACAAGTTCAACTGGAATGTGAGTCTACCAGAAAGTCTACCCTAATAGACTTCAGAAAGAATGTGAATGGTGTGAGTGAACAGAGCATTTCTGGGCTAATGACATAGTGAAACAAAGAACCCAACACAATCAATCCAAGTTGGTGAGGCCAAACTTAACTCGAGCATCCATTCTAATTACAGGACCTTTTTTTCAATCCATGCTGAATGTCGTTCATTTGCCTGAGCCCAAAGAAACAATCCAAGTTGTTTCCACAATAATCCGAGCATCATAACCAGCCTTTGCGCCGGGTCTCGATAATCCTTGCCCAACAGCTGTCACCATCGGGCCAGGGGTTGATCGTTGATGATTCATCGTTGGTGATCCCTCTGTTGTCAAACATCGCAATGGGAAATCACCGACAGATTGATTATCCATTGTTATGGTGGAAATCTGTTTGGTGGATTTCCCATTGAAATGCCACCTCCCAAGTTGAGCCATTCTGAAAACCTTCAGTCACTCCCTATGTCGTATCATTTTGATTCATTTTGGGTACGCCAAAGCTTACGCCATGCTTACGCGCGTAGAGTTTTTCCTTACGCGAAGCAAATTGAGGAAACCCTTACGCGAAGTCCTTACGCGGCCTATCGCGGCCTTACGCAAGTGAAGGTTTTGCTTACGCCAAACGCGTTGTGACAAGGCCCTTACTGAAAATGTATAGGGAAGTTTGTAGAGCGGCTCGTTGAGACATGTTATATAAATAATCCACTATATATTAGACTATAAATGATTATATATAAATTATTATCCCATGAGAAATCCATTATAAATGGGCACTTCAATGGGGGGAAATCCACTATAAATGGGAAATTCCTTCTTTTCCAAGTCAAAATGCGCACTTCAGTGGGAAAATGTTGTTTTTTCTCAGTGCTGCATCCCAGCCACTCTCCAAGCGTGGTAGCAGCAGCCGCGAATGCCCCGTGAAGACACGCACCAAATGCGAACAGCCGGCGTGCGCGACAACACCTGGGCCGTTGTGCCCCTGGCCCAGGGATGGTGAAGGACAATCATTACTGGCATCAAGAAGTCAATATGGTGATATGGGTTAAGATCATGTAAGATCAGTAATATTCTGTGGGTTATGCGGTGGAATATGGTGATTTACTGAGGAGAAAACATTACTTAGTCAGATGTTACTCCATAAGTTAATGGTTAAGTGAGCAACATATCTACCATGATGATTCAATGCTTCATCTCATTTGGAATTCATTTGGATGTTTATTGATCCAGTAATCGGTACAAGTACTGACTTCATTTCTCCGCGATGATATGTGATGATCACATCTTAATAGCAAATCAATTTGCTCAAATATGCTCAAATAATCCATGATTTGCTCCAGATTTCTCAGATTTCTGCAACTTGAAGCACGTCCCTGCACCAAGTTGCATCGAGAGATGCCCACCAGCACTGGATCCATTTCAAGCGTCGTGACCTGCGACCCCCGCGACGGGCAGAAGGTCTCACCCCAGCTATAAGTGGAATCAACTGGACCTAAGTGGGTTAGTTGACCCCAGTGGAAACTGGGACCAACCATTGTTACCCTATACTGCCTATACTCTTACCATCTTTGAACTGGGGTTATAACATATTATAACCCACTTAGTTAATTACTGCGGTCAACTGCCATTCAAATTCCGTCTGAATCCCATCCCGAAAAGCGACAAGAAACACACTTGTAGAGGTCCCAAAAGAGATTCCAAAACATGTTTCAGGGATGTTCGGTGATGTTTCCCCCATAATTTCATATCATTTCTAGGTGTCCAACGTTTCTATCTACGTTTTGGGGTTGAAAAGTCAGCAAAGATCAAAAATCGCATCCAATTTGGACCTCTGTATCCTCCCCCCTGCGTCGGCACCTGTGCCCCTGCGGCTGCCAAGGTCACTGCAGAGTAGCCGCAGTATGTTCCGATCCTTGGTGATAGTCGATCCCTGACCACTTGTTGGGGGTAGAACCATCCAAACTTAGCGATCATCAACTAAAGTGACCAACTTCTGGAGACGCTCTGGTGCACAAACAGATGTTGAAGCTAGAAAGTGTTGGTTGATGGTCAAACTTGGCCTATGAGCCAAAACAACATGCTGACAATTACTGCCAAAGAGGCCCCGAAAAACGAGTTCTTTTTGGCAACCCAAATCCATCCAGCAATCCCAAGGTAAACAAGATAGTTCTTTTAGGACAAAGCTTGCGGTGCCGGCTTGGTATACTGTTGGTTATCATAGACCTATGGGTTGTTGATGGTTGATGTTTTGGTAACCCTCTATGAACCAACCAGCCAGTCATCAGTGGGTTAGTGACATCTACAATGCAAACTTGACATGTAAAAAACAAACTGAACCACCAGCGAACGTGGGGATTTTGTGGTATAAAAGTGCATATAAATAACGTCATCTCCCAAGGCAGTTGCTGTTTTCACCAGCTTGCCATGTGGATGCTGCGGCCAAAGGGATGACTTTAAGTTGGGGACCCACCGTGGAGTTGCCAATTCGACACTTCGGTTCTCACATCGTCCAAAACGTTCATGCCAAAAGGCTTGCATCAATTCATTCAATTTCAACAGTTCCCCAGGGCAAACAAAAAATATGGTGTCTGAAAATGGGGCACACGGTATACCGATACCATCAATTCATGATTGTTTTCATCCCGAAAGTGACGCTTTCACCGTTGGAGTTGTTCACCAAACATGCTCAAACGAACCCAAATGTTAGCATTTGGCCCGTTAATATTCATCGATTATACCATCATTTTATCATATCCTATTGCGGTTGGTTTTTCTTCCAAGTCCCACATGCTGGGCAAGGTGCTCGCCCACCTGTTATGTTTGTTGCGTTAATCTAGTTCGATATAACCAGTGAATTCCCTATGTTCACCAACTAGTAACTAGCTGTAGATTAGATTTACCATATTTTCATATATTTTCTTTATTAATTATTCCATTAAATCACCATGTTCAATGGTGAAAACCCCTATGAATCGCCATACATTCCCATAAAATCACCATTAAATTCTAATTTTCTCCATAAAAATATGTTAAAACAAGTTCCCTGCAAACCCCACGTTTGCGCGCATCGGATCCCGCATATATCCTTTGACATGCTCAATCCCTTCGTAGAGCTAGCGTTTTTTTTACTTTCCAAAACCTGAAACCCAAAAAGCATCAAAAACCCTAAAACCCTAAAAGCCTAAAAAACCTAAAGTCAAAACCGCTGCGTATAGCCAGTGTTTCCATTCATCCTCTCAAGACAAGTAATTATATTGTGTGGGTGTGTTATTTGGGTGTGGGCGAACGTGGGGTTTGGCGCCATCATGTCAAAACCCTATCAGTCCCCATGAAATCTCCATTTTCTCCAGTTAAAAAAAAACATGTTAAAACCCTATCAATCACCATGAACTCCCCGTTTCTTCACTTAAGGTCACCATTTCCGCAACCGAGGCGCTCCAGCATCTCTCTACCGCCAGCGCCTGCCGCTGCCGCACGGAGCGTGGCCGATTTGCCGCCGCCGGCGAACTTGGCCTTGGAGCCAGGACTCCCAGGAGCTTCGGAGGAGAACATTTGGGAGAAACTTGGGATGATTTTGAGCAAAACTGGGGGAAAAAATATGGGATATCTATGCTAACTATGTGTATTGATAGAATCTATAGTTAGCAATCTTAAATGGTTTTGCAAGACGTCCGGTGTTGAAACAGTAGCTAAGTTTGATGAACATAGCTCCAATAATTTGTTTGGGTTTATGACAGATATTTCATGATATCTCTAGCTCGTATAATATAACTTAGAACTGGGGGGGCGCTGGCACCACCTTGAAACGACCAGTTTGATCCATTTTTTCATGCTCAACATGTCCAAGTGGTGCACCGACTTGTCGTGCATCTCTGATATGTCTGATACCAACAGTTTCGAAGACCAAACCTCTTTCCGGGAGGACGAACTTCCAGCAGTGATAAATTTCAGCACGTAGAGGAGAGATTGCCAAAGAAGATTGGGGAGTGTGTGCCCAGGCTTTGGCACTTTTCAACCATCCATTCTGCTTTAAAGTGCTCAAATTTGACCAATGTTTGATGTTCACCATCATTTCCACATTAAAATATTCAAATTTCAACATGTCCATGGAAAATGGCCCATTTAGTTCGATGATTGACACATTAAAAATGTTGATTTTCCAATAGCCATGTTGAATCACCAGAGGTACTTCCTGTCAAAATCTCCAGTTTCATTGGCTAAATCCAATATTACCATAAAATCATGATGTGTATATTTAAAAAAATAATTATATATATATATTATAGATAATTATATATATAATTATATATAATTATATATATAAACACATTTGCATATAATGATATATATATATATAATAAATATAATATATATATATATAAATTATATATATATATAAACACACTCCCTATTTTTATACTGATTTCCTCCCTCCGAATTTCAATGGTCGAGGTTCCCAAAGTCCCATGTCACCCAGCTCCTCGCCACAGCTGTCCATTGCCTCGTCGTTGGAGCTCTTGGAAGCGATTTATTGGAGGTACCTACCATGTAAAAGGTCTATGTAAGGGGGTTACAATGGGTTACATGTATATTTATAGCCGGGTTGGCATACCTACATGTAAGGTACCTTATTATGTAAGGGGTTAATACCTCCAAATATGTTTTTTACAATGTTTTACACCATTGGATTGGTTTTAAAGGACGATTGACAGGAAACCCCTTACATACGCCTATAATTGATGGAACAAATCATGGTTTCCTGTAGATTGTCCCTTCAACCAATCCATTAGCATATTCAATGATCTATGATTGGACATTCATGATTGGATTCTATGAAAGATTTATCCTATGTTCAACAATAGGGTGTTGGAACCTATAACATTTTAGCCTGTGTTTGGCCCAATCATTTGGTTAAACCAATCTACAAGTTATGATGTAACCAAACTATGACGTGATTTATGATGTTGTTCAATCATGTTTCTTTTCATGACCAGCGCCTGCAGGGTATTTTCAACCCCCGGCTCAGCACGCAAGACGTGGCGCAGTAGTAGCAGCTCCTGGAGGATTGCAATGGACGTGGATGGACCCAATGAAAGTGGTGCTGTAAGCAATCAAATGGGATAATGATGGAGATATGATATCATATCCCAATGATGGAAAATATATTAACTAATTATATAAGGATATGAGAAACATTGGGATTGAGCCAGTGAAAATGATGTCCAAACATGTTGTGCGAATTGAACCTCCACTGCCGTTGGTGAACACAAACCACACACTCACTTTGGTGAACACAGATCCCGCATCCCGCCTTGCCATAGCCTGTCCTGGCCGCAAACATGGCACCACTGGTTGCTTCATGTTGTTTCTAGACCGGGAGCTCTGGAACAAAGTTTTGAAAATTGGCAGGAACATGCGGGAACCAGGATCCCCCGTGTATCGAATCCACTGCAAAATACCATGGATTAATGCACATTGTCCCTGAAATCCTGAACCAGGCCAGAACATGCACACGCATGTCATAGTTCTGAGCGGATGTTTCTGGAAATTAGGTTAAACCAATTTGAACCATTTTTAATTCAGAAACCATGAAGTTACAGTAACTGGTTTATTTGAACCATTGTTGCTAATGAACTTCCGGTTTCAGAGAACCCAAAAATCACACGGGTCTTCTTAGCCACTCTTTCTGTGGTCATAAATCACACAGTTTCCCATTTGGTCAAGGCGTTGATCGCCAAAATTTCGTGGCGGAAATCTCAGTGACGTTTCGTGACACCTGGAGAATAGCTGGTCAGCTTGCACCGGTGCCAGCGTGGAGCGCGCCAAGGGCGGGATCCCTGGCTGGAAGGTTTTCAATGCTGAAGATGGTCTCATGATCAACACATGATTCTAATGTGGTCAGATGGAGTCAGTATATTATATTGTCTATATTAGAGTGGATGTGCAACACAGCTCGGGAAATCGAAGCAGCCACTCAGCCACTCTGCCGCAGCCACTCTGCCACTCAGCCACAGCCACTCTGGCAGAGCGGCTGACGCAGCCACTCAGCCACTCTGGAGGCTGAGTGGCTGAGTGGCTGAGTGGCTGTCTAGCCACTCTGGCAGAGTGGCTGGGCTGGTCCAGCCACTCTGCCGCAGCCACTCTGCCACTCAGCCACAGCCACTCTGGCAGAGCGGCTGACGCAGCCACTCAGCCACTCAGCCACTCTGAGCGGCTGAGTGGCTGAGTGGCTGGAGAGCCATTGGAGTGTAAGCAATATTACCCAGACCTAATTTTTCTTAGGTCTGGGTAGTATCTCAAGTGAGGTTTTATGCTAATTTAGGGCCCCTTCCTTTATTCATCCAGGCACTGGGGCATATATTCTTATGGGTTGAATGGAATCTTAGGCAAACAGGCAAACATCTGTGTTAAAGGGTTGTGAGAAAGAAGTCATTAATCATTTGTGTTAAAGGGGTTCGCTCTGTGGGTCCCTGCGGATCATCATGGCGAAAGGAATGAGACATTTGGTTATAGTTCCAATGTTTTCATATATGTATGTTATTAAAGAAATTAAATATATATATATATGTAGATATAGCTAGACACAAACACACCTAAGGTCATATCATCCACCTCCATCATTTCATCATGTACCACAGTTCATTTTCACAACAGTTCATATCATTTCATCACAGTATCAACACAAAATAAGACCACATAATTTCATACATCATCATCCCACATCATTTCATCATCATCCATCATCACATAAATTCATATCATAAAGTTTCATCATAATATTTTATCATAATATATTATTATAAAATAATATCATAAATCTAAATCATCCATGTCTAACATTCCTATGTTCGAATCATAAATTTTCATATATTATGATATGAAAAAATATGGGGTTAACGTCTTTTAAAGTTTTTTGGTGTAATGGTTTTCCAGACTTGTTTCAATTTTGCAATTCTGGCGTCATCATCTTTTAAGTATTCCTCCATATATGTTTGTTTTTTCTCTTCTTCCTTTTTGAGCTTTTCCTTGCTGGAATGCCTGTCGGTTTTGACATGTTTGGACAACCTGCATTGTTTCACATTCCGTTGGCAAATGTCGCAGAATACTTCCTTTTGATTATATACTTTGTTACTCTCCTTTTGTTTGTCCAAGCATTCAATACACATTCTATTCATTCCATTGAACTCGTCACCATTTTTGTTTTTTTTACACTTTGTGCACTTTCTACTCTCCATACTATTATAAGGTATTATCCTTTCAATTTTAAGTGTATTTCCTTGTGCCATTGGAAAAAAAACATATTATCTGATATGAAAATTTATGGGATTCAAATATCAATTCCTTGTTGTATTCTTTCATACACTTTGTCAAACTTATTCTCGTCAATAATTGTATTTCCAATAAACTGTTCATTGTCTTTGATATGCAACAATATTTTTCTTAAGCAATCTATAAAGGTTTCATGATTAAAGTTATCATCCATACAATCGGCATCATTAATATTCATTTCAAACATGCAGAATGCAACCGTAGAATATGAATTGTTACAACATTTTTCAATCCTTGTCCACAATCTTGATAATGTCTTATCTCTTTTTCATTTAATACTAAATTCATTTTATCATCTGGAATTTCATTCACTAAAGTATTATAAACGTAAATTTGAATTTGTTCATCAATATCATCATCGTCACAAGGGTTAATATCAATTTCAATTGAATCAAAGTGACTCATTATATTTGAGCAACTTTTACAGGCTACATATTCACAAATTTTATTACCAATACCATCGGTATTTTTTTTTTATAATTCATTTTATTGTTGCATATTCACTACATTTACAGCTTAAGAATTTTTGTTTGATGTATTCTCCTTGATTGATTTCACATTCACTACTTGTATCACTGAATGACATTTCGCTAATATATATATATATATAGATAATATATATATATATAATATTCCTTTAAGTAGATTTCCTATAAATGGTAATTTATATGTTCAGCAATTCATGCCTCAATAGTGGTCTATTGTATCCTTCTAATGTATAATATGTTTGATTCAATTTTTCATCAATGGACTCTACGGTATACTCACCTTTCAAAAAGTGTGAGGTTCTCTCCTTCTCCGTTGTTGCTTTCTTCCTTTTGATTTTTACTTTGTCTCCCACAAATAGTTCAGGATAGAGCCTCTGTTTCTTTGCTTTCATTGCAATGTTTAATCTTGATTTGAATTCATTGTTTGTATCTCTGGCTTTATACGGTGTTTGACCAGTAGCGGAATGCACATCTTTATTATTGTAAGTTAACACAATTTCATCTATGTAGTCTATCCATGGTATATTCGTTTTTTTATTCTTTTCATCGTTCTCAACTCTTTTGCATAATTTGTCTTTAAAAGTTGTTTGTAAAACGCTCGGCAAAAGCAGGATGGCCTCTTGTCCTATACAATCCGGCCTTCGCTTTCTACATATGCTTGGAATTCACCACTTGCTATAGCTTTCTCGTCGTCGGTGTATATGATTTCAGGTTTCTTTGCCATCTTCTCTATCGCTTTCTTTGTTCCTTGAATAACACTGCCTGTCTCTTTCCTTCTTACTGGGACTACGACAGCATACTTACTCAAACAATCAATACAGACTAATCCAGCTCTGTATCTTTGTTTTACCTTTAATTTTTTTGGAAATAAAGAATATATCAACTTGGTATCTATGATTGTTATGTGGAACAACAAAGCTGTTATAGCCTCTCGGGTTCATTTTTATCTCTACACTCTGTTCGAAAAAAATCTTCAACATCTTTCATAGTAATAGATTTGTCTTTCTCTCTTGCATCCTTCAAAGTAGTGTTTTTGGAACCAAACCCTGCTTTATAAAAAAATATATGTTTCCTATGATTTCTTGCTTACTCATACCAATATTTTATTAAGTTTATTATTTTGAAAAAATCTAATGTGAAGAAGAATTGCAGTGGCAACAATAAGCCTCGCTGTTGTCAATAGAATGGCACAGTCCATTATCACCTCTCTGCGCCGTAAAGTTACTTGATAATTTGCCACCTCTGGTATCAAGATTAAATTTAACTCCACACTTTGCACAACAACCCTTGAACATCTTCAAACATGTTCATCAATGTATTCATCAACTATTTATTTTCCTCCTTTTCTGTCTTGTCCTTTGTGACCTTCAACCTTGTTTTTAAAATAGTTAACTACCAAATTCTTAAACATATCTTCGTCGGCTGTATCATTCTTGAAAAATATATATTGTTGAAATCTGTTGCTCTGGTTACAGCACACCATAGCCATTCTTTGCTCACCGAATAGTCGTTGTAATAGTTGTTTCCAATCCTGAACTTGTAGAGTTCATCACCACTCTCTTTCTTTTTAATTAAGTGATTTCAGGTTATGGTTCAAAGTGTATATGTGGCTGTTCTTAATCAATCCGTTGAAGTTATGTAGCTATGGCAGTTGAAGTTTACAGGGTTATGTTTGTAAATCAAGTTGCTGTCAATGTCATATATATATACTCTTGCTTGGATATTGAAATGTTTAAAACTTTATCCGTCCATTTCATTGATTGATGACTCTGCCGCAGCCACTCAGCCACTCAGCCGCTGTGCCAGTGTGGCTGATGCAGCCACTCAGCCACTCTGCCAGAGTGGCTGGAGCAGCCACTCAGCCACTCAGCCACTCTGCCAGAGTGGCCGACGCAGCCACTCAGCCACTCAGCCACTCTGCCGGAGAGGCTGGAGGAGCAGCCACTCAGACACTCAGCCACTCTGCCGGAGTGGCTGGAGGAGCAGCCACTCAGCCACTCAGTTACTCTGCCAGACCACTCAGCCACTCAGCCACTCTGCCAGAGTGGCTGGAGCAGCCACTCAGCCACTCAGTCACTCTGCCAGAGTGGCTGGACCAGCCACTCAGCCACTCAGTCACTCTGCCAGAGTGGCTGAGTGGCTGATGTGAAAATTTCCGCCATTGCGCGTTCAATCAGCCACTCAGCCACTCTGCCAAGCCACTCAGCCACTCAGCCACTCCGCCGGAGAGGCTGGAAGAGCAGCCACTCAGACACTCAGCCACTCGGCCACTCTGCCAGAGTGGCTGGAGCAGCCACTCAGCCACTCAGTCACTCAGAGTGGCTGAGTGGCTGAGTGGCTGCGTCAGCCACTCTGCCGAGTGGCTGAGTGGCTGAGTGGCTGATGTGAAAATTTCCGCCATTGCGCGTTCAATCCTATATTAATATATAAATGTGTGTGTGTGGGGGGCCCTGAATCAAAGGGTATCAGCAGGGGGCCATCCCTCTCATCATTGGTGGATGGCCAACGAAGAGGCCAGTGATGAGAGCTGCAAACGTACCTGCGACCTTCCACCTTCGGACATGGCCAGGTGGCTAAGCTACAAACCACCCATGCAGACATGACATGCTAACATGATAACATGACATTACATGATTTCATCTCATCTCATTTCACCCTCTCCCTTCGGGGTGTATCCAAGTGTGTCTTCTCATGCACCCGGATCTCTGATAAAGTACCGGGGAAGCTTGGTGGTGCGTCCACCGGGGATACCAGATTACTTCAGAATTTACCAGACATGATGTTGCCAGAAGCAAAATTCGCACAAGCATCCAAATTTCGCACAAGCATCCAGAATTCTCCATCAGAAGCAGAATTTCTCAGAATTCGCCAGGTTGCATGTTCAGAATTCGCCAGTATACAGATTTTTCATCCCTCAGCATTCCCCGTGCCATCCCATGATTCATGTTCACCTAGCGATCATGTCAAAACCAAGCACTGAGAGAAACAGCACCATGCCGTTACCAGCCTTTTTTTGTCGGTCGTTGGTTGCTTGCTGAACAGCCGGAAATTCTGATGCAGTGGTTTGCTTTTGTCAGCCTTCTTCAGTGGAAATTGACTTGAACGCCTTGAAGCTTCCTTGGTTTTTGTTGGAGATAGCAAAACACCACACCTCATTGGTGACACCCACGACCCATGTACACAGAGATTTGAGCACCACGTATGTCACAACCCAGCACTGAGGGAAACAGCACCATGCCGTTACCAGCCTTTTTTGTCGGTCGTTGGCTGCTTGCTGAACAGCCGGAAATTCTGATGCAGTGGTTTGCTGTTATCGGCCTTTTCCGTGGAACTTGCCCTGAACGCCGTGAAACTTCCCTTGGTTTTATGTTGGAGCAAGCAACACAAGGTCACAGACATTTGAGCACCATGTTCCATGTCACAACACAACACCGTGGAAAACAGCACACTAGATTAAGGACCATTTTCTGGTTCGCAAAATCGTGCCCCACGGCTTGCTGTGTGTGGAAAGCCCTGAATCAAAGGGTATCAGCAGGGGGCCATCCCTCTCATCATTGGTGGATGGCCAACGAAGAGGCCAATGATGAGAGCTGCAAACGTACCTGCGACCTTCCACCTTCGGACATGGCCAGGTGGCTAAGCCATAAACCACCCATGCAGACATGACATGCTAACATGATATAACATGACATTACATGATTTCATCTCATCTCATTTCACCCTCTCCCTTCGGGGTGTATCCAAGTGTGTGTGTGTGTACACCGTTATGTTATAACAAACGGTTTTAGTTCTGTTTTTTGCGCTTGTACAATTCTCAAAAGCAGGGGGCAGAGGTACCCATGTCACTTCCTCTGCCAACGAAGCTAGGTGACATGTGGTAAGGATATAGGTCAGGGACGCCTGATCTACGTACCTGCTATAGTTTCAACTGTTGACTTTCTGTTTTTGTTTATGAGCTGTGCGTTGTTTCTTCGATCGCGAATCCGTGTCCGCTGAAATTCTACTGCCAGGCAACTCAGGAAATCAGGCGAAGACTATGACATCATTCACACTTTTTACTTACCATTACCCCACAGTGTGTCCTGGGTGTTTGACCTGACTTGGTCGCACCGTCGGTTGGTTTCGACCAATCAAAAAGTCATGAGCGGGCATTTTCCCGTATTCCGAGTGGAGTATGAATCTCCGAAGCCGTATGCACTTCGAGTGCATTTCAAGCGTCATATGACGAAGTCAAGATTTCACACTGTAAAATCCAATCGAAGCAGCCATAAGGCGAAGAAGCCATAAGGCAGAAGTTTCGTCCAGTTCGGACAAAGCAGGCATAAGTCGAAGTTCCCAGCACCGCGGGTGCAATACAAGTGCTTTTGGTCTGGTCGGAGTCTCAGTAGCATTTTCACCTCACTCGTCATCGTCATCAGGTTCTTTTTAGGCCATGTATTCATTCTCTTAGGCAGGCTCCTTAGGTTTGTTTTACCAGGTATAGAACATGTTTCAACGTTTTGTTTCTCACATCACTCGTCATCGTCATCAGGTTCTTTTGAGGCCATGTATTCATTCTCTTAGGCAGGCTCCTTAGGTCCGTTTTACTAGGTATAGAACATGGTTCAACGTTTTATTTCTCACATCACTCATCATCGTCATCAGGTTCTGTTTAGGCTATGTATTCACTCTCTTAGGCAGGCTCCTTAGGTTACTATATAGCAAACAGTTTAGTTTTGATGGATCAATCATGTTTTGATGAAGCAGGGAATTTTGTTATGCAGATTGAGCCGAAACTTGTCGGAACCTTTTCGGTCAAGAGCTCTGCAACAACTCAAGCTCATTCTGCAGTTCCGGAACTCAGAATTTTCACTTGCCAATGTACTTGTACGATTATTTGTTCTTGACGATGAGATGGAATTACAAATGAGGTCTTGGCTGAAAGGCTTTATCGTACAGTCTTGTGCATCGTTTTCTTTTTGAACTCAAACGTACAGCTTTTGCATACGCATTTTCTTTAATGTTAGGATTTACGACTTATCGAACTCGGTTTAGCTTTTTGCTTTTCACATCTTTTCACATCACTCGTCATCGTCATCAGGTTCTTTTAGGCCGGGTATTCATTCTCTTAGGCAGGCTCTTTAGGTCCGTTTTCTTAGGTAAAAAACTAGGCGATTTGCGGTTTTGCCCCATTTCGGGGCCATTGTGTGTGTGTACACCGTTATAACAAACGGTTTTAGTTCTGTTTTTTGCGCTTGTACAATTCTCAAAAGCAGGGGGCAGAGGTACCCATGTCACTTCCTCTGCCAACGAAGCTGGGTGACATGTGGTAAGGATATAGGTCAGGGACGCCTGATCTACGTACCTGCTATAGTTTCAACTGTTGACTTTTTGTTTTTGTTTATGAGCTGTGCGTTGTTTCTTCGATCGCGAATCCGTGTCCGCTGAAATTCTACTGCCAGGCAACTCAGGAAATCAGGCGAAGACTATGACATCATTCACACTTTTTACTTACCATTACCCCACAGTGTGTGTCTGTGTCTGTGTCTGTGTCTGTGTGCGCGTCTTTTCAAGTGATTAAAATGAGTCAACATGGCCAACATTGATCAATATATGTATATGCCAACATGGCCATATGTTCTGACGGAAATACTTCACTCCTTCCGCTGATTGTAATCTCATGAGCTGATGCGGGTAATGGCTACCAATAAGGTTTGACATGGCTTGTCACCTATCATTGATTTAAGCATTCTACTATATAATAAAATGCTATACAGCTGGCAACCCACAAACATATTTACAGTACACACAAGTCCTTTACATTCATTCACCATGATGTTTGAGTGGGAACAACCACTACTAATTATAGTGGGCTTTTCATGGATTTTAGGTTTTTTTTTAGGCGTTTCGATCTTTTTTGGCGATTGCATCTGGGGCCTCCTCCAGCATAATTGGCCAAACTCTGCGACACCATCAGCACCGCAGATATGGCCGCAACGTCCAGACAGGTCGCCACTCCTTGGGGCGAGAAGATTTCCGTGTGATGAGCTATGGCTGGCAGTTCTGTGTGTTGTTTAAAACGTGGAAGGCTTTTAAAGGAAAACAACCATTTTGACCATATTCAAAGGGGGTTATTTTTCTTTTTTGGTTCACCTTCGAAGTTTAAACATCCGAAAAATCCCTGGTTCAGAAACAAGTCTCATCATTCAAGGGGCTAAGACCTCTCCAACATGGTCAACTCATAGGGGGGCCCAAGATCCAACTGCATCCATGGGTCGTTTCACTATGGCAAGGCCAAGATCTGTGTTACCTGAAGCATTTGGCACCGCGAAACGTCTTACCGGGCAACGTTAACTCGGACATCGTGATCTATATGTATATATATAAACACACACACATATACATATATATGATTATATGATCATATCATATGTATATATATATATATATTCACATAGGATTCATCCAAAGTCAGCCGAAAACACGTTAGCGCAGTGACCGGCGCTAACGATGCATAAAACATATAAAAACTATGTCTTAAATTTGGTGAAAATAATGAATCCAAAATCATCCAAAATCTATGGGAAAGCCACATGCCGTCGTTTCTGACTAGTTAAGGCCCATCACTTTTCTCATCATTACGGCTGTTCAAGCGGCCATCGTGTTCGCAATGCATCAGTAGCGCCTTGGTCGGCTATGGGACACCTGACCCCCAAATTGTGAAGAAACAACATGCACAAAATAGAGAAATCCAGTTGGTCACCAATCAAGACTTGCCGAGAAAGGGCCAGGCGACAGAAAGTCTTGGGCCCTCTACTGGTGGTTGAAAAATGTTGAAAATACCTCTCAAGCAATCTCAAGAACACAAATTATTGAATCAATTTGAATCATACTTCACTGACACAGGTAGTCCTATATCCTTCCCAACACATAGCTGGAAGACTTTTTACTGCTCCATTTGGTCACACATAGCTGGTCCTCCTGTTACATCCAGGAACACCATATGTATGATCTGCTGGTTTTGTATGGTTTTGTGACATCTCCATATTGTCAAAATACTCCCCGTGGTTGTGTGCTACTCCCACCGTAGTATGTTTTGGGGCATTTTCTAAACGCAAAGCTTCTGCCATGAAACAACCACAGCTTCGATCACGGCCCAGGGACGCTGACTGCCTGGTTGCTAGGATGGTCGCCCTTCATCAAGGCCAATGCTTTGGGCCAGGCACCCTCCACCTGCGCTGACAGAGCCAGTGGACGAAGATGTTGAGGAATGAGGTGTGGCTGTGGGGGTTGAGAAACATTAATTGACCTAAATCTATCAAGCAATCTATGAAACAATCTATCTATCAATCTATCTAGCTACATACACATTGCGCGAATCAAATCCCCCTGATCTGTTTAATTCATTTTATCTACCTCCAACGACAAGGGACCCAAGAATGAACAGATTCAATACTGAACCATGGTTTCAAGGAGGGTATCTAAGAGAAGGGAAGGGATTCTATGATCGCCTGCCAGAAATGGCCGCCAGTGAAATCATCTTCCACATGCCCCTGGTTCCCGATCCCAACTGCCCGATTAATCACGTATTTTACCCCCCAATAATCACCGACATTGAATCTACAACTCACCAGGATTGTTGATTCCATATGAGTGCATCATCACTCTCTTGTTTTTCTTTAACATCATAGAAACATATTAAAACATATCGGACACACATAGAAACACCATTTATCATGCATTCCATACGCGTTTCATGGCCATGTCATCTCCATCACAAGGTACCAACATGTTTGAGCGCCCCCCGGCACCTGACAACAGGTCACTGCGGCCAAGTTCAAAGCATCAGCCTGGGATGACATTACCACCAAGCCCAAATACATAAATAACCATCAATTCATAATCAATAATGGTATGAATGATGTAGAAATCATCGGTCAATGATTAAGCGGCTAAGAATTGATGATGATATTATTCATACCGTTAACTATGAATCATGATTTATAATATTTATAATTTATACCATCATCATTGATCAATGGTTAAGTGACTATGATGTTATGTATCTGGCCTTGTTGGTAAACACTATGACACTATGACATGACCACCAAGTCATACTAAACCCAAATACATAATAAACCATCATCAATTCACCAAATTGCACTGCTTTACCCCTCCTCTCACCAAATGTCGACCCACCAAAATCGCCATACCACACACCCCTAGCGCTCGCGCATCTTTTTCGTCCTCCTTCCGTGTTCGGCACGTGGGTGTGTCTGAAAATGGGGTACCCCTAAATCTGGTCTTGTTTTGTCAACTCTCCCTATGATTATTAAGTACCATATGTATTTAAACTGATATAGATTGGGCGACTCAAACCCCACTGCTTCTCGCCAAAAAATGCCATGACAAAATGGATGTGATATTTATAACTCACGTTCCAAAAAAAACAACCAACCCCACATTCCAAGCAAACTCGGTCCAAACTTGGAAAATTCGTGCCCCTACCTTTCCCGCACCCCACGTTGTCCGCCGGCGCCGGCCCGGCGTTCACAGCACGTGGCCGTGCTTCTCCGGGCGCCGCAGCTCCGTGGTGGGCCACGCCTGCAGGGCCGCCTCCGCGGGGCCGTGCTGCGGCAGCTCCAACAGCTCCACCGTGGTCTCCGACGTCGTGGCCACCGAGGAGGACGTGGCGCGGCCAACGTGGACGGCAGTGGCGGAGCAGCTGAAGGTGAAGTCCTGCAGCTAAGGGTTGGTGTTTAGAAGTTCAGGTGGGATTTATGGGATATATATATATATATATGTGTGTGTGTGGAATCTATGGGATTTATGAACCTTATGAGATATCATGAGATATCATGATATATTATGATCTCTATGGAACCTATGGGGTTTATGAACAGAATTGAAGGGGAATCACCATGGCGATATTTCGAATTAGACACTCGAAGTGGTGACTTAGCATGGTGGTTGGGTAATGAGATTTTTGGACAAACGTGTGGGAGACATAACTCTGGAAGATGATACATATATCATATATATATGATATAAATGATCCAAGAGTTCACACAGTGTTGAGAGGAACTGTGAGTGGGTATTATGTTTGTTTCTTAAGATTGGAGCAGCCGTGATTGTTTGGGTCTGGGTGGCCCGTTTGGATTGGTGGCGTCAAATCCTTCTCATGCCCCAGTGACAAACTCGTCGCGCTAGAAACCAACCAGGATATGCAAGTGACATAAGTAACCATCTATCCCGTGCTTCCACCAGTGCATGTTGCTTGCTGACTTGGAAACTGAACGGTTGGATCTTGTGTCCGTGATTGGAGGTTTTTTCGGCTCCTCCTCGGGTCGTAGCTCTTTCAAGGTGCTCAGGAACACCTGCGGCACTAGAAATCTTTGGGGATAGCACAGGTATGCACAGGTTATTTTCCATGATTTACTATGATTTGAAGCATTTTGAAACACCCTCCAGGTTTGTCTGGAACATGATTTTCTCTGTCGAATTGGTAGCTCCAGCTCACAAAGGGCGACTGTCTACCTCAAAAATTATGTTTGTCTGAGCGCTTTGAGCTAGCACGGTGAGGTTTCAACAAGTTCCCAACATCACTAGTCTTAGCTGATTTCAGTCTCTGAGAGCACTTCAACACATTCCGCTGTCAGCTCAGCGGCGCGTTACCGGCTCAAATTTTGAGCCGGTGAAATGCTTTTAAGCAGAACTCGAACAGTTGTTGCAGTTGTTATCCACCATTCGTAATTACCTAAATACCATTTCACCAACAATTTCACCCAACTGGGACCTGCGAACTCAATCATTATATTAGTAAACCCTCCCACTGCAAGACACAAAAAAAAATCAGATTTCTAGTGCCTTGTAACCCAAGAATGAATCTTTAAGCAGGTAATTAACCCAACAGTAATGTACAAAGATGGGGTCCCGAACATGATGTTCGCATTGGAATTCGTTTTTTGGATAGTTTCTAGTTGTCCAAATAAAACAATCCCCAATATATTGCCAATATATATCATAGTCTATAGTCATCCATATTCCCACAGCAGTGTTATAGCATATTTATAGCTCATCTAACATATTTGATATGCTGGGATAACCATGGATAACCCACAACGTTTCCCAAGGATTCCCAAGGCACCAAGCAGTGCGACCCCCCGGCAGCCCCGGCGCCTTCCGGTTCGGCCGCCCGATGTCCGCCACCAAGACCCGGCTTTGACGCGTCAGGGCCTCGTTGACGCGTTGGGCCATGGCCTCTGCGGTCCGACGCTCCTTGGGGGCTGTTTGGGCACCGAAAAAAAGGAGCAAGTTACCCTCTGGTAAACTGTCATAACTATGGAAAATCACCATTTTTCATGGGAAATCGGAATTTCATGAAAAATTGTGATTTTCCATAGTTATGGGACAGTTTACCAGAGGGTATGACATCAAAACATGCCAAGCATGGATGAACATGGCCACAAAAACCCTCCAATCAAACATAGCAATTGAAAATTACCATGCTTCTAGAATTTTATAAAGGATTTTCACAGCTATAAACCTTCATTTATAGGGGATTCCCCACGAAGGGTAAATGGGACAGTCCAGGGTAAAACATGATAAACTAGCAAGATCTCTGGGGGATTTAGGATATGTTAATCAAGATTATAAATGGGCTGTGATGTTATGTCATAAATATTTAATGACCCTGAAAACCGCTCATCCCAAGAGTCGTCTTTCGATCCCCTACATCAGTGGGGTTGTCAGGTGCCCAAGTATCAACTACTTCGGGGGGTCATTTTGCATCATCCCGCCCTTCCCCCCCAAAAAAAACGAACTGGGGATGTTTAATGAAATGTTAATGATGTTTATGTTGGGTTTACCTCATTGACATCTGTGCGATTTCATGGGGGTTCCTTTTATTTTAGGAACTATATAAGCAGCGCAAGCTGCAAAAATTGGATGCACTGGTGGGAATAATAGGGATTTGACTAACAAAAATTTGGATGTGTGGACATCCAGATCTTGCAAGTTCATGTTCACACAGGGTTTGAAACAGGAAAACTCTTGACACGAACATCACGGGTCTGGTCTAATCTATGTTCATGCCAAATGGACATAAACACAAAGATTCCGGTATTTCCACCCCAGTCAACCCCGCTCCACAACAACAAAACAACCAATTACTGTAACCCTCTGGCAATTTAGCTATGGAAAATCACCAGGTCAGAAAACGATAACAAAAGCTACAGCTATATCTTTTTTATGGGCCATAGCTCCATATAGCTTCTATGGCTATGTTGAATTACCAGAGAATGCAAATTTCTGGCTGAATTACAGTAATTCGCCAACCTGAACATAGCTGAACTGAGGCCATTTGGGATGTGAGATCACACTTCATCCAAATAACATGGGAATATAGATATATATATATATATATATAAATATGGGATATCCAACCATCACTACTGACCACTATAGGAATATATGTAATTTAATATATCATAGTCATAAGTATATCATAATATATCCAGATCAATTTGATCATTGCCCCCCCCCAACTATCCACCCCAGCATCGTAGAGCACATCCGACGCCATTACCAAATCCGCCTCCGGGAGCCGTGCGGAAGCGTCGCAAAGGTCGAATTGCTGCACCTTCCTCAGGACAGCTGGGCACCCATAGCTATGCTTGTACCTTCAGTTGGATCATGTCAGTGACAATTATTACCCATAATTTGTTACAGTTCGCTATTGAAAATGACCCATGGGTGGATTTACCCATTATATAAAAATGGTGATTTTTCCAGTTATGTGACAGTTTACCAGAGGGTATAGATTGGATCTCCAACATCCTTCGCAAAAATTACCAGTACATGTTGCGTGGCATCCAACTTTCTGCCGGTCAAAAACCGTGAAACCAGGCCGCGCCAGGCAAAACCTGTGATAGCTGAAATCTGGATGATGTCTCCCCCATTTTGCCATCGACTGTTTATGACTGTTTTCCCATATTCATCCATGTTGGCCAAGATCCAAAATCCATGGCCAAAAAGCCAAGAAAATCACACATTCTATCTGTTGACCAGAGAACGCCACCATATCCCACCCGATTTTTAGGTGGAAAAAAAAACACAATCCTTCAGCCTTCAGCACCACCGTCTGCAGCTCCAAGTTTCAGCCGTTTGTCGAAGCCCTGGCGTCGTGCCGCCTCGTTGAGCAGTTGCAGCGGCAGCCTGTTGAAATCCGTGGCGATGACGCTGCACTGCAGGGAGAGTAGGGCCAGGGAGGCCAAACCACAGCCGCAACCTGCTGGTAGACATCCCGTGACGTTGGGTGACGTTGTGTCCTGAAAAAAAGTGAAGATTCAGATTAAACATCAAATTTGGGGGTACTCAAATTATATTAAAACATATTACGACAAACCCAAATTATATCAAATATAAGTCACATAATATATATATAATTACATATAATATATAAAAATATAATAAATATAAATGTCACAATCATAATATATACATATATATATATATATATGTATATACAGTGTTATATACAGCATATACAGTATATATATATATATACAGTATATATATATATACACAGTATATATATATATACTGTGTATATCAAATATTGTGCCTTCAAAAAATCCTCCATTTCTCTAAAGCTCCATGGCTCCGGGTTGGCGCCTAGCTCCAGCGCGGTCAGCGGCTTCCCCTTCTCCCTGGCTTTCAACCCATAGGCCGAAGCCGCCTGCGCAAGAACCTGCCCGGCGGGCCACACGGCCATACCTGGGATTGGAGGTCTTGGACTTGGACTGGTGGTTGAGCCAACCACTCCGAAAAATGATGGAGTTCGTCAGTTGGGATGATGACATTCCCAAGATATGGAAAAAATAAAACATGTTCCAAACCACCCACCAACCAGTTTTTTGCCAACAAAAACTTGGATGTGATGTTTGTGATGTTGTTTTTTCTTGACTGTACTTGGATGTTGAGGTGTTTTAGGTCTTCTGTTTTTTTATTGGTTGTGATTGGCGGGAATCGGAAGTTGAAGTGACGGTTTGGGGATTCTTCGATGGGTATCAATGGGTATCAATGAAGATGGTACCACAGGGTAACAACTCTTGGGCCTCTGTACGAATTAGTTATGAACTAGTGATTCAAATTTTGATGCTGAAAATAATGATTTTGAAGGATGAGACATTGTTAAACCTATTGACCATTGATGTTGACGATTACAATAGCGATGTGATAGTCGACAGTGACATTGACAATGAAGGTTGATGAGGATGATGTTGATGCTGCTGATGATCTTTGTAGGAGTATGTTTCCATACGGTCCATACGCACTCACATGTTGCGGCATTGTATGCTGTATGATGCTGTATGCATCCATCTATCACGTCATACATAGCTGCAACATGCTGCAACACATCAGGCAATATCCGCCAGAGATGCCGTAAGGATCCGCATCCAACCTGAGGTCACTGCCGATGACCTAATTCATTGGATTTAAGAGAACACTTGCAGGAAATCATGTGTTTTCCGTTTTTCTTTTGTAAGGTGTTCATTTGTATTGTTTTAGTTCCGCCTTCAAAATAGAATAAAAATGAATAAAATGGATACGTATAGGCTGTTTCTAGAATATCTACAACCTGAGCCTACAATCTGCCTGGACATGCTATTGATGGGCACGCCAGCAGAACTTGGGAGTAAGTACCAAATGTATCGTACATATGAGAAGATAGCAGGAATCCTGATGGGTTTCTGAAACCTATACCAGATTGGCATCTTAGGTTATATATTGTAAGCTTTCCTTCTTCCACTCTAGCATGGGGTCCAATTTTGCAATCACAGGATCTGATCCTTGCAATTGAGCCCCTTGATTGGGCGTTCATTGGGCCCTCTCTCTCTCTCTCTCTCTCTCTCTCTCTCCATCTCAGGAGATCAGCAGTCAAGCTGAAGGCGAGCTAAAAAGGGGGTCAATCATTTTATGAACCCTTAATGGCTCTTGATATCTGCAAGATGCACGACAAGCGATGATCACATGACACAAAAGGCACACACCGTGGATATTTCAGGGGGGTGATCGTGGCCTTTCACTCCTCCCGTCACTTTTTCCTTCACCTAACCCTGCATGGGTAACCTCAGATTCCCAACTAAACATGTCCAATGAAAAGACATTTCCCCAGCAACACTCTTAGCCTCGAAAGTCAACAACTCCATGGCTTCACCATGGCTTCACCATGGCTTCACCATGGCTTCACCATGGCTTCACCATGGCTTCACCATGGCTTCAGCATGGCACCCTGGCCACCGCCCCAACGTCCCGTCGCCAGATGTGCCAGGCGTCGGGTTGTCCTCGAAGCGTTCCACCGCTTCTTCGATCAACGCCTCCTGCCACTCCAGCGAGGCTTCCAAGACCTGGACCTTCGTTCCATCGGGGCCCAAGGAGACCTGGGAGATCCGGGGGAGCGCTTGAATTGGTTTGAATTGGTTTGATGGCTTGCGAAAACATAGAAAACCAACTTGATCAACTTGTAACTTGCTAGCAATGGCGCTTTAGCCAATGACATAATGTATGATACTTGGTTCGGACCACGCTGGGGATCTCAAGCCACAAGAGATGGCGGCATTTTGTGGCAGTTAACAGCTTGCAATTACTAACAACAAGGTGGGGATGTCAACCTGCAAATGATGCAGATCTTGGGAAACCCAAGGTTGGAATGAAACTCTTCTGCAAACATCCGATGTTTGGCGAATGGGATCAGGGATCCCATTTTTCCTGGTGGTTGTCTGCTGAAAAAAATCATGGAAATGAGCCACGAACCTGCTGAAACAGTGGAAATTTCAGCTAGAATGGGTCTACCATGGTCAACCCCAGCCCCAACTCTTCAACCTAACCCCTGGACAAAGCAGGGATGTACTGCTGCACTCTGTTTGTGATTTAGATGATTTAGATATTAATGTAACCCCAGACTTAAATGGGTCAGATGGGTCAGCAGTACAATGTACAATCCGGGGCTAGATGGTGCACAGGGCGACCGCATGCGACCGCTCTCATTCCACGGAAAACTTCCCAATTCTTCAAGGGATTCTGAACCTCCCAAAAGAAAGACATAACACATTAACACATCATAAAACCATGAAATTAAAACCCAGCATAATGATTGATGTGCGATTTCTCCCTTATTTCCATGGAAGCCGCCAATGGCCCAGTTTGATGATTTCATGCTGCTGTTTTCCATCTCAAACTGTGCCAAATTGCCTATCATGTGCTTGGGAAACTCTTAGTCGCTCTGCTATCATATCCACATCCACATCCACCAAATTGCCATCATATTCATCATCTCCCATCCCCCAAGGCCGACACTCGGCCGAGGCCTCCACTTCCACAGCTTCGGGGAACTTCTCCGGCACGGCCTTGGCCCTGGCGACCTTGGCCGCCGTCAGCGCCAGCCCCGCGAAGGCTCCGCGCAGGCCGCGGCGCTGCACGGGGGAACCGGGCACGGCGCGGCGGGGCGCCGCAGGGGCGCGAGGGCAGGGGAGGGCGATGGGGATCAGGGCCATGGCGGAGGAACGCTATGAGATGTTTTTTTTTCTTGGTAGAGATGGGTATAATATGGATTTGTTGAGTTTATGGTGTAGGCCAAAGGGATTTTAACAATTGGAGTGTTCATTCCAAGAATGGCACTTGTTGTGGTTGTTTTAAGACTGGCTTTCCACAGGCTGAAGATGATAGCCGAAGCATGCTGAAGTAATCTGAAGTAAATTTGCAGTTTGGGAAGTTTTGAAGTGCCAGGTGCAAGTTGAAATGACTGAAATTCCATTGTAAAATGACCGTCGTGATTATCCAGTCAGGCTCGCGGACTTTATGTATATTAATCTCTCTCTCTCTCTCTCCCTCCCTCTCGGTACTATGCAATTCCGCAAGCACCTTGAGGTCACCCGTTTACAGCTGCACAAGTGCCGTTCCTTCTCCAACTTTGGGCCAAAGGGAGACGGCTTCCGACGGCGATTGTTTCTATCATCCCGCCCTTGGCATCGCAATTTGTTGGCGGAAGCTCCACCAGCGCATTGCTTGAGGAAATTTGCTAAACAAAAAAAACGACTTGAATCGACTTGATGTATGATCATGATTGATCATGATTGACCATGATTGATCATGATTGATCATGTACGTGTATCTAATGTATCTAATGATTATCTAATGTATTACCAGATTTGCCAGGGCTTCTCAGAGACCACATCAACCCATCGGGCCGCGGTGCAGCCGCGTGGCCGAGTGAACTGTGACTTCCTTCATCAACTGAACAAGGTCCAAAGCCTGAGTCGTCCCTTGCCATGGTCCGAATCCACAATGTATTGGACAGGATAAACCCAGAATCCTTTCCCGCCGTTCATATTAAACACCATATCATAGGACAGTTTGGAGGATTGGTATATCCACATGTTAAACAGTAGTCCTTTCCCATACAAAACACCCGAAACCATGGTCTACTGACGTACACATCTTTGGGACCAAAAAATGGTGCGGGTGTTTAGTTTTTTGGGGGGGATGGGATGAGTTTTTCAGATTGGTGGGTTATCCTAAATATAAAATAGTCATGTAATATAAAATAATATAAATATAAATAGGGTATATTTAGTGCTGAAATTCCCATTGCATTGACTTACCTGGTTCTCCATCAACGGGGCTTGAGGAAATTGCTCAACTGGGAGTAAGATTCGTTGCAATTCCAACACAACTTGGATACCTACATATAACAACTCACAACTCTAAATCCCTAAGGGATTTAAGACAAAAATAGTGCCCATAAATGCCAACACTGAATTATCATCTACAACTGTAGGCATGGAGACTGATAACACGGCTATTGATCAAGCCTAGATTCAACAGAAACACTCTATCATTGATAGCACAAGCATATGACTTTATGATCATCATATGTATTTAAGTTGATTCCCCTAGTTAAAGTAATGATAGTCAAATATATGGTCATCTAATATTGTTAATCAATGCTTGATGATTGGTCGCCAGTCGTCTCCGGCAACTTCCGGACGAGTATCCGTCGTCCACGGAGTATCCGCAGAATGCTCCAAGCATGACATGGCCTGGTGCCAATGGTGCCAATTGTTCATGGAAAATGGATGGACATGGGATATTGTTACCCAGACTCTGGTAAAGTGTCACGTAACTAATTATGGAAAATCACCATTAAATCACCAGGCATTTTTCATGGGTAAATCCACTATTTCTATGGGCCATGTTCAATGGTTTTTTGTATGTTTACCAGGCCGGGTACTCCTTCCTCCAAAATGTTGATGGAAATCATGGGGATAAACTGAAGCCACTGTGGCTGCATATGCATATGCTATAAATAATGTGTTTGTTTTTTCTATAAATGATCACATGATCAAACATATTTATATAGCATATGATCATTAATGTGATAATATAACACTATTAATAACACTATAAAAGCTATAATGTATCATATAGTAGTCACCATATGACACTTGCCCCTGCTGGATTCCCCCTGGCCGTTGTGAAGGTGATCTCATTGGGCTCCATGGACCGCAGCAACATCTCCGACAACGAGTTGATGACCAGCTGCCATGCACCTGGGATGCCAAAAATTGATGGTAACTGATGGCAATTAATGATTAATGGTGATTAATGTCAAGGTAGGATTAATTAATCCCTCCCGATTAATCAACCACCACTGCCCCCCCAAAAAAAATGTAATTCAAAAACAGGTGGTCCCCCTGGATTAAAAAACCGTTTGGCCTGGGATGATTAATCAACCACCAGTGCTGAAATCCATGTTATCCAAAAGTTTCAAATGGTTTCCTTATGGTTTCCTCATGATATATATTTAAGTTGAAATCACATGAACACCAGAACGCATCACTGCTGATCATTGAACATTTGAAAAAACAACTATTCCCCAAATGATCGATTTATAATTAACTTCTTTATAAAAATCATCAGTTTGGATAGCTCCCAAAGGGTACCCCCCATGAGCCCATGTCCCCCATTAATAATAACCAAGGTGCCCCCTGATTAATCAACCACCATGTCCCATTCATGTTTTTTCCTTGGGTTTGCCCCCATTCATTGCCAATGTCCCCCATAGCTTTCAGCCAATAGTTTCCAAGCCATATCCAAAATTTTTATAGTTCAGGGACCGTTTATTTAGGGGGATACAGGAAAGACCTTACAAGGTACCTATACCTACCTTGTGGGGGGGGGGGCGGTTGATTAATCCTACGTTGACATTAATGGTGATGAGTCGCACGTAATGGCAATTAATGGGAAATTCATGGTAAATAATGGCATCAAACAACCAAAATGTGTGTTTGGCCAGCCGCCAAAAAGGAAATAGAAAAGCTTCAAATCACGGTTCAAGTGAGATGTTCCTGTTCTATCTTTTTGGCGGTTACTACAACTATTGACCATTGTGCAAATAATACAGCTGCATAAATATATACACAATATATATATATAGCAATTGCATGTATTTGTCTGTCTAGGCATATGCGTCACTAAGTATACTTGTGAATAACATATTATATCATACATCCATACATAATGTCCATACATAATATATCTACTTAGAACTCTTTAGAAATATATTGATAAATTCAACTTGGCCTAAAATTCAGACTACAACTATTACAACTAAGATCTGCACAAACGGTCTGAAGTACTCATCCACGACGCGTACCCCATTGCCTAGTGGGTTGCCACATGAAACGGCATAATCTGCGTTCATCATCGGTGCTCGAAACATCTCGAAATCACCTTTTTTTGGATGGTGGAATGCCATCCATTCCAAATAAACTGGGACCCAAACCTTTTCCGAATCGTTCTGACTCCAAATTTCACAAAAGCTGTGAATCGGTTCCTCAGTTCCTCCGGGTTCCGCCGTTCCCCATTCCTTTTCTTTTCGAACCAAGCGGCTCCCATCGCTACCAACAATGAGCGCATTGAAGCTGGCCGTATCCGCTTCCAGCGACCACTGCGCCATGCCATCCAGGAGATGCCTGGCTACTGAAAGGTGTCCCATAATGTCCCAGATTTGCCACATATGAAAACGTCAACTCTTTGTGGTGAAAAATGATAAAAATGGTGATGAATGGCGAAACATGGGGATTCATCATGGTTAAAAAAAAAAGTGTTATATATATTGATGATTCATGGTTGTTGGGTTAATATCCGGTAAAAAAAACATGGCAAGCCGGGACATCCCCGAACAAAATGGAAATTTACAGATGGTTTTTTGTCAATGATGAATAGTGGATTTGACAAAATGCCATATGGTTGATTACTGAGGGTAAGCATGGGTAAACATCGTTATTCTTTTGGTTGGGAAAATCTAGCGGAAGACATGGTTTTCATATGTGTTTTAATCATCAAACCTAGGGGTTTCCTGGATGTCTTCCAACTTTGAGCTTGAATGAGGAACAAAACATCTAGGAACCCCCCCTAGATGTTAGATAAATGTCTGCCCATAAAATCCATTAAATTATTGATAAAAATCCATCAATAAATCCATTAAATCAATAAAATCCATTAAATCAATAAAATCCACACAAAAAATCCAGTCAAACATTGGATAAACCATGATAAACCTTTTCCATTGGAAATCCCCAACAGGAACGTCTGCCGAGTCACACGGCTTCAAGCCAGGCCCTGGCACGTGCGCAAGACGCCATGGCTGCGTTCAGGGCGATGGTGTCGGGCAAAAGCTGGACCTTGGTGCGTCTTGGTGCCCAAGAGCTGGTTGCTTTACGATGGAAACATCCTGTGAAAACCTCCTATGATTTAGGGTATGATTTAGGGTTATTTAGGGTTTACCCCATGTCAGGAAACCTCCATTCATATGGAAAGCACGGGAGATTCAATGGGATCATTGGGATATCACGGGAAATCTTTCATGGTGTCCCGGACTGGATCTTTCTGAGAAGAGACTTCATCCCCTAAATCATACCCCAAATACTTGCTTGGATCCATAGGGATTGCTTGGATCCATAGGGAATGAAACACTGGTGAGTTTGGAGAATGAATCTGTAATATCGAAACTAAAAATGGAAAATGACCTAGGGATTTTCACTGATTCCAAAACGAAATCGAGTGACTTCATCCATTTTGGACTAGGATTTTACTATATGTTACCTGCCAATGACTAATCTTTGCATACAAATTTCAGTCCATATTTTTGTCGATTGAGGCTTGCCCAACCGCCCAACTGCTCTGCATCCCAGTTGCATCTGTCATCTCTCTCAGCAACTTCAAAGCTATCTCCCACTGCGCAACCTTGTCGCACGAACTCATGAGAGCACTGTAAGTCACCTGCCCAACGCTTGCGAAAACACACTGATCAGATTGAAAAGTTGGGAAAATTTCAGCTAACCTCTGGTAATCAAAGATGGTAACGAATAAAGACAATTGTATGGCCTTCATTCATAGAGGACTTCCCGGCCAGCCATGTGTACTTAGCGAAAGGACCCCTCTATGCCACAGGCCTGTGTAAAGGCATGTCTCCAAATCCCAAAATTGCTACCTAACATTTCTTTACACTACAGCCAGTGATTTGCAATTTTCATCATACTAATAGGGGTTGAACATGAAGACACCGTTTCGGCTATAGCATGCTATAACTCCCGTATGGTTTGTAAACATTTGACTGGATGGCTGAAATATGTCAAAATCCCAACCTTTGACACAACTCCCACATGTTTTTTCATGTGTTTCAAATTCTTGATATATCTTAAGATGTGTCAATCTTAAAACAGGCCAATTGCTGGAAAATCCACCGTATACAAATATAGGTATAATCTCTCTCTCTCTCTCTCCCCCTCTCCCCATATTATATATATATTACAGTATTCAATAGTATTCCCAACAAAGCTCCATTTAGTTCAGGGTTTTCCCAGCGGCCCACCACCTTTGATCTTTGATGACCGGTAGACCCTGCCTGGTCCGCCCGGATCTGTTGGAAGTTCATCTCTTTCAGCAATTCCAGACCCAGCTGCCATTGGCCCACACACTCCTGGGCGGGGCCTAGAAGGATTCAACTGATACCGGGAAGAAAAACAATTGAAAATTGTGATTTTCAATTGATTTTCCATCACGATGTTAAATTTACCAGAGGGCAAGTTCTGTTGAAAATGAAGTGTTTAGAATCCATTCTTCATAACTGTTCAGATATTATGTTTCGTGATTTTCCTGCAAACATGGACTGGGATCTAAATACCAGTGCTCCAAAGGGCGTGGGCCAAGACAAAGCCAAGAAACATCAATATCTTATTGTAACGGTCAAGGGATCAAATATATTATATATTGATGGCGTTGATTTCCAATAGGGATGCAGCCAAACTGAAACCCTGACTTTGACCAAGAGACATGGAGAAAATTCAGGGGATCTTGGGAACGATTCCCTAACAACATGGAAAGGCGTGGCGTCAGCTTTTCGACCCCACTTACCCTCTGGTTATTTAACATAGCCATGAAAAATTGCCCATTTATAGATGGTTTACCTATTAAAAATTGTGATTTTCCATGGCTATGTTAAATAACCAAATGGTAAGCCTGCCGGGAAAGAAAAACAACAGTATGGTTTCGAATTTCCAATTCGAACTAACGTGACCATGACAATATCAACACAGGACCCTGATATCTGAAACGAAAATGCTTTCTGCTCTAAATTTTCGCAACCATATCCCCATACTGTTTCTGGTGTCTGAAAATAGGAGGGGTCCTGATAAAACACCACATTCCATCCATCGGTTCATCAACTGGCAGGACATTGCCGAGGCTGCCGAGGCTCACAGGCAGAAATTGCAGCGTTGAAACTCACCACGTCAACCTGAAGAATTGCCGCTCTGCTGCTGGAACAAAAATAGACATGTACCATGATGGGCTTAAATAAAAATGCACCCAACGACTACTCTATCTAAAATGATGTGAATTATTGTGAATTAATCCTAGACTCTAGGGTGAGCAATCGGAATGATTGGGATTGTAGGGCCCCATTCCTGAGTACAGGGACTTGGACTCTGGCAATCTTAGGAGCACATACATGTCCCATAGCATGGCCTAAGATTCTGAAAGGTTCTGTTTGGTGGGTTGCCGTCCTGAACTTTCAAAAATAATACACCACCAACATCCATCAACCAAATATTAATATAGATAGTTAGATAGTTATCAATCTTATATAGCTATTGATGGAGGCTATAGATATCATATCACACACACAATAGATCCGCAGTTGAGTGCCCGGGTCCTCTTGCCCATAGTATGTAAATTATATTATTTCACTAACCTGAATTAAGGCCATTTGGGGATGATTTCCCTTATTAACCATGATTCCAGTGAGGTCGCAGTGAGGTCGTTATAATTTACCCAGAAAAATGATGGTTCATCATGGGTTGTGTCAAAAACGCCCAGGGCACTGTCACGTTCTCCGGAAAGCTCCGGAGAAGATGTAGGGTCTCCTGCCAGGGACCACCTGAGTTAGGGGAAATCAATGCTGGTTGGTGGTTGAGCCACCCCTCTGAAAAATGTGACAGCCTGTTGGGATCATTATTCACAATATATGGAGAAAAAAAAACATGTTCCAGACCATCAACCAGAATGGAATTCATGTGATTTTCCATCATTTGGGGGATGATGAACTGATTGAGCATCAAATTTGTACCCCCAAACCTTCGACGCTTCATGAGAATAAAATCATCATGCTCCCCATGAAATAGCAATTTTGGAGGCATATATGGCATATCATAGTAAAATTTATATCCCATGTTCAGACCCACCCACATAGCTGGGAAATCCCCCCCAATGGTCAAACACACGGTCAAAACAATGAATGGCCAGAACGTGCTATGGGATAAATTGTGGATCCAACAACAATAATGTGTTAAAAAGAATGATAAAAACCATCCCCCAGTCATCACCCTAAACAGGTGCTATATACCATTCCCAGTCCATGGGTGGTTTATGGCATTGTTTTAACCACATCAATCGGAAAATTTCCCTTCGGCCATGGACTGACTGGGTGTCCCGGCACTTTTGCAGGATGCTCAGCAACGTGTTGTAGGTCACGGTGCTGGCCGCAATCTGGTGATGCCTCATGGAGCCTCAGCAGCTAGGGTCTTCCGCTTGGCGTTGGAAGATAACATCTGCATGTTTTTGTTCGAAGAATGTTGATGTAACAATGGCGATCTAATATGATTCTAATTCAAAAATATGAGTCATATTGATGATGTAGATTCAATGAGTTCATTCAAAGTTATGTATACTACTTCCCTTGTGACTTTGAGAGAATCTGGTTGGTGTTAAGGCCAAATTTGGAGGAGGCCATCTGTAGCGCCCTCAAATTCTAGAGATACAAACAGCAGCTTGCTTCAAGCTTCAGGACATTTGAACGACATTGATGGTCTGAATCGTGCCAAGTATTACCTCTCAAACCAACCATGTTGCTAGAATATCGTCCAAACTTGAAACACACTCATTCTGATAGGTTTCACCCCGAGATAGCTGTTGATTTGCAAAAACACCAACTCAACTCCCCCTTCGCCACGGCCACAGCCACGGCACTCAGCAAATGGATGGCCAGATCCCAACGACCACCGGTCTCGCAGGCTTTGATCCCAATGTTGCAACCTTTGCTTCTGGAATTTAGGTCATCTAGTTCGATAATATGCCGTGTTGAAACATGGTGATGTTCCATAGTTAACACTGTTAACACATTACCAGAGGGTACTTTTGGTAGTCTAACTGCAGTTTGCCATGGAAAATTATGAACAGAATCATGGAAATAATATGAAATAATATATAGGTAAATCAAGAGTCATTATCCATGGCTGTGTTAAACAACCAGAGGGGTTTTTATCCCTTGGAAAACCAGCTGCAGGTGACCTGCATGGGACGCTCGAACAAGGCGCTGATGGTGGAAGGCATCAGCTGCTTTTGAGGCATCTGGGATAAAAGGAGCAAGGCCTGCTGCCAGTTACCACCCTTCCTGAGCAATGGAGCAATGCCATGATGCCATGATGCCAATTTGGTACATAGAATTTACATCGAAGTGCGCACATATGGCCTTTTTAGAGGATAGATGGATAGGTGTAGGTCCGCGGTTAGCATATGTATAGATAGATATAGAATGGTATAGATATAGATGATACAAATGTGGGATGTGCATGGATGTGCAACAATGATAAACACATTGATGTTATACACATCGCGTCTCGAAGACCAAGCGCACACTCGTGCATCAATTTCTGAACCATATCTTCCTGTGTCAGACCACCTCCCAGAATCACCAAGTCTCAAGTAAGCCCCCATGGCAGTGTTCATAGTGATCACATCGATCACATCGATCACATCAGCTGTGTGGCTTCCACTCAACAGTAGCTGTCGAAAAATCTGCAGCGCCAGCTTCCAGTGCCCGGACTTCTGACACACGTCCATCACAGTGTTGTAGGTGATCACATCTGGCACTAGGCCTTCGCACCTCATCCTGAGCTGAGCCTAACGTGGACACAGCCGTTCCTGCATCTTCACTAGAAAAAAAACTGCAGGAAAAGGTTGCATCTAATTGGTACCCTCTGCAATTAAGTAATTGATTTCTGTTCAACTGGTATCCTCTGATGAGCCCCCTTTCAAAAGCATATTTTGGCTCATTTTTGAAGGGTGTTTGTCATCATTTGCAGAGAACCTATACGCAACCCAAACAAAACATCGAAAAGCAAAATTATCCTCCCAAAACAATGGTACCTGTTCTATATGTGTTTGGGGCTTACCATGTAGACATATTGTATATATATATAGATAGATAGGGTTTTATAGACTATATCTACTCAAGTCAACATATCTAAACATCCAGGCCGACCCGTAATGACCTACCATGGCTGACCCATGCTGCCCTGTTTCCGATCAACAAGGTTGATCGCCAAAGCCCATTGACCAGCCATGTCCTGGTCCGAGGCATTCACCTAAAGGGATCTATGAGGATCCCTGAAATCCAACCAGAAACTGCAAATGATCAGCATCTGTTGCATGATATCAGGATTTCATGGCATGTTATGTTTATGTTATGTTTATGCCATTTATGGCAGATTGATGCTTCACATGTGTTTCTGAAGTATGGTTGATAAACACAACCAGAGCGAGTGCAGCAGAAGGTCACAGGACCGGATCGCAGTGTTGAAGCTGATCACGTCGGGGCTTACCGTTTCCTGCGTCCGATGCGTCCGGGATATTCCGGGATGACAGCTGAGTCAGCTGAGGTGATGTCATTCCATGTCATTCCCATTGTTCTGGGAAGCAAAATCATCAAAATCCAACCAATTCTGATGGAAACCACTGAGTGTTTGAAAGGTCAATGGGTAAATCGCCTACAAATTGGACATGTTCCGTCAGGATTGTTTAGTGGAGGGTAACGGGTAAGTCGGGTAAGTTACCCTGAAAAGATGCGAAATCAACATGGAATTCAGTCCATTTCAGTCCTCTGTCATGGAGTTCAGCAACAGCAAGACATGGGGCCAACCTTCCGATGCCGCCGCCTTAATGACCTGGACAGCTGAGAAAATGCTGCCGCATAACCCAGGGGGGCCTGGGCTAAAAACGTAAAGAAAAATACAGCATCTGGTAATCTAACATATTCTAACATAGACATGAAAAATGGCAATGTTTAATTACACTGCATCATCTACAAACAGCTATATAATGTATTATAATGTTCCGTGGCTATGTTGAGGAAGATGTTGCATAATGCCGAAGGCATAATGCACAGGCCAGCATTGAAAAGAACGATCCATCTGGAAATCTTACATCAATGGCAAATAAATCCCCATGTTTGAATGGTAAAACCAATTACACACATGCAAAATAAGAATCTGCATACATAGATGAGATAGAAAAAAACATACTTGAAGAAATAAACAACCAATAAAAACATATAAAACCTATATATATATATCCAGGTGCTTGGAGGTCTTTAGCGAGTCCCAAGAACAATCCTTCAAATCACACCGCCGAGTCCAACTCCGAAATCTTCCGTTGGGGGGATGGTATAACACTCAATTTTCCATCAGAAAACCATTGATGACCTGTGACCTACACTAGTTCCATCTACTGGTAGTTCCTAAGGATGCTCCATAAATTCAATTTGGCTCTTGGATTAGTGTTATTCAATAATATCTGGTTGGTGGTTTCAACCCCTCTGAAAAATATTAGTCAATGGGAAAAAATATCCCATATATTATGGAAAATAAAAAATGTTTGAAACCACCAACCAGATATTCACATTTTTCTATCTCTGCTCCATGAATGGTCCCAGTCACGCTGTTGTAGATCACCACATTGGGCGCGACCTGCAAATGGCTCAGATAGGATGATCATCCTACTTTTGAGGGCTGCGAAAGAAAGAAAAAAAACTAACAACATGTTACGCACAACCCCAAGAAACAAAAAACAAAATACCCTCTGGTAAACTAACATAGCTATGGAAAATCACCATTTTTAATGGGACAACTCACTATAAATGGCCATTTTCAATAGCTCTGTTAAATTACCAGAGGGATCCAGAGGGTATTTCCAGTTCATTCCAGTTCTATCTTGCTTCATCCAGGCCGTCCTGGTTCCCTTTCATCAGCTCCAGAAATCCCAGAGCCGCTGGCCAATCCGAAGCACAGCTCTGCAGGGCGGCACCTCAGGGCCGAAGAAGACCCTGGGGGATCAACAAAAATCCATCTCCCTACTGAAAATTGAAGGATTCCTAAGATGGATGGATTTGATTGAATTATATATATATATTTATAACATTAAATATACCATAGGAATTATTTATACCATAAAAAAATTATACCATAAAATCGCCTGAAAATATTCAACACCCCCATTTTATGGTCCCAAATATGTGCATTTGTCCCCTACTAGACCATGCTTTCTTGGGGGGTGTTTGATATGAATGGGGGAAGGGACAGGGGATTGTAGCAAACCCAGTCAATAGAACAGTTGGACACCTGGAAATGATGAGGTAAACATCATCAAACTTACCATCCTGAAAACATGTGTCTATCTGTCTATCTTTGTGGGGGTTAGATGAGGTTACCATAATATGGGATTATATAATATTGCTAAGTATTATTGCAAGAGAATAAAATGGTGCAAGAGAATAAAATGGTGCAACCCAAGAAAGACATATTGAATGATGTGTCCCAACCCCGTAAATATTATACACTACCAGCAAGGGACCCGAAAAAAATCAACAAGTTCATGATTGAATCAGTGTTTCTGCGGGTGTGCTTCAGAAGTCTATTGAATTCTATAGTTCATGGCGTTTAAATGCGTTTACTGTTATAAAGTTACAAACCATGTGACACATCATTCTGAAACATCAAAACCACAAAGTAAGAAAATAAAGTTACAAACCACAAAGTACCCTCTGGTAAACGTTTACATAACTATGTAAAATCACCATTTTTAATGGGTAATTCAACTATAAATGGCCATTTTCAATAGCTTTTTGTATGTTTACCACAAAGTAATGATTCCACCATGCCCCGTAGATTTCATTCCGTAGATCTCGACCCAGCTGCCGTAGATCACCACGTTCTGCTGCAGCTGCTGTGCCATGGAGGCACGGATGAGCTGCAACGCGGCAGGCCACGCGCCGGAGCCCGCCAGGGAACCTAAGGCGAAAAACATTGAGTGGATGTAGGAATGGTATAGCACTATAGCAATCTATAGCAATATGAGAACAGTATGGCAAATTTACTTAAATTGGATCATTTCAACGAATTACAATATATATATAATAATGTGTACTGTATATGATAATATTAATTAATGTTCATGATTGATATGAAGGTAAGATGTCATTATCGTCCAAAAAAAAAGTGCGGATGTGAAAAAAAGACCCAGTATAGGAACCCCAGGGGCAAACCAAGTTGAGTATAAACACATACGGATAAGCACAGATTTGCCTTGTGTCCGCGCAACTGCAACTGTGGTTAGTGTTTGTTGTTTAAAAGTACCTTATATACATGGGAACTAAGTGGAAAATAATGGGAACTTAATGGGAAATCCTGAGAAGTTAATGGATATCATGAGGAGTATCTCTTATAATTGATCAATCAGCTAACACAACATTGGTCAATTGGATAGGGAAATAGTGTTTGTTGTATATAATTAATATGTCAACATCATGTGCCTGCGCAACTGCAACTCTGCTCATTGAGTGCTTTTCAGTAGCTTCTGCAATTACGAACATGTAACATGCACACATGTTTGCACAGATTCACGAATGGGTTTGTCTGAAGCTTGGGTACCCCCTTTCATCTAGTAGTTTCACCAATCTACCCTCTGCTAAACTAAGATAGCTATGGAACATCATGAACATCACCATCTTTAATAGGTAAATCAAATATAAATTATATAAATGTGCCATTTTCAATAGCATTCAATAGCTATGTTAGTCATTACCAGAGGGTAATCATTATGTTCCTATTACCATCTTGTTATTGAACATAGCTATGGAAAATGGCCCATTTATAAATGATTTTCCCAGTAAAACCTCCATTTATAATGGATTTTCCATAGCTATGTTAAATAACCAGATGGTAACATTTCAATTGGGGCATCGAGGCACCAATTGCAGCGCTGAAGTGAAACACGTTGGTCTCCTCGGCGTGCGTTTTTTTCCCGTGGGAAGTGGAATGGTGGCTGTCTACCCCGTGGTGTTTTGAAAACAGGAAACCCATGATATGCAACCACAAAACCAGAAACTGAATATCTGGTTGGTGGTTGAGCCTACCCCTCTGAAAAATGAGTTCGTCAGTTGGGATCATGAAATTCCCAATCTATGGAAAAATAAATGTCATATTCCAAACCACCAAACAGATATATGTAGTGATTTTTGAGTTTCTTTTGACCTGAGTTGTTTTTTGGTGGTTTCAATTTTCAAGAAATCATGTGAGCTACTATGCCGGGATATACATGGGCATCCCGTAATCATCATACTTCCGAATACACCAGTCAGCATAACCCCACATAATCCGCATTTCATAACCAATCAACAAGGTTTTGGTATATAACATTATATAACATGAAAACACAAAAAGACAGTGTCCTCTTCATATTATGGGGTTAGCCAGATTAACACCTCATAAAGCCCCATATGGTGGTTTCTTACAATGGGGGATCCGCAAAACCATAGGTTTCAGTACCAAAATTGTCATAAATGAATATAATAATATAAATGATCTAAGTTAGGATGATTTGGGGGTATCCCCTAAATCATCAATTCTAATAGGATGGTCCATTAAAAATCTAACCATTTTTGGGAGCTGACAAGCATCCACTGCTTGGCGCGTCATCGTCTCGATCACTTCCAGCAGGGTCCCGGCTGAGCCGCGCCATTTCTTCAGGAAGGCGCTGGCCAAACGAGGAGAAGAACGCCACTCCTGACATCGGATCGCAATCCTACCAGGTGAACAAATGGATGGTATTTCATG